CTATTTTGGTCATTTTCATGAATTTATTGTGAGTAAAGCAAATTTTTTGAAATATTTCTGTCAATGGCATCGTATAGTACTCACTTTCATCTTTCGAATCCACTTTCAATTACCGCCGCACGATTCTTTTTCGCTCAGATGTACAAGTTATAAAACTGGTCATGCATAGGGATTTAATAAGCTATTCTAAATCAACCGTGCCACCTCTCTATCTCACTACGAATCAAAATTAAAAATATACATTTTTAAATACCTTCTGTCTTCATCTTTTGAAATTAAAAATGGCGCATCTAATATGGCGAATAGAATCACAATAAAAAGGCATAAAATTTATAAAAATTTATCAAAATGTGTAACAACTGTATTAGACATTTCTTTATAATATTTTTTTGGCCAACCGAACCTGACATATGTCAGTCTTTTCAAATTTCAAGATCATGGATCTACCATATTGATGTCTATATAAATTTTTTTTAACATAAATTTTCTTACAACGTCATACTTATATATCTCAGCGAAAAAAAATCGTGCAGCGGTAATCGAAAGTGGATTTGAAAGGCGAAAGTGAGTATTATACGATGCCATTGGCAGAAATATTTCAAAAAATTTGGTTTCCCCACAATAAATTCATGAAAATGGCCAAAATATCGATTTTTGAGCCATTCCATTACAAATTACTCAAAAACATGACGTGCTACGCAAATTCGGCGACCAGATTCAGATTCAGCGCACAAAATTACGTCGGAAATCACTATTGCACATCTTAAAAAAAAAAAACCTCGCAGGTCTGTGCTATTAAACGACAAAATTGGGGAATAAGGCTTTTTCCTTTTTTTTCATTTTTATTGATATATTTCAAGGCACTTAAAAATAATTGATTTATTTGTAAGAAAGATCAACAAGAACTCTTCCTGCGTCTCAATAAAAAAAATAATAATAAATTTAATAAGGAGGTTTAATAAGGAGTTTAATAAGGAATTTTCACTAATTTGTCATTTATGATCTGTACGAAATTATCTAGAAACCAAACGCCATATTTTCAATCCTTTCACGTCGCGATCCTTATTCTCGAAAATGAATGCCGAGAATGCACAAGCTCGGCAACATGTGCAGCAACAGCTTCTTGCTCCGATTCTCACGTGAAGGCTTACAACAGCTATACCGCCGTATGACGCTCCGTTAACTCGGTTCTCGAACCCGTCCCTCTCTCTTTTTCCTTGGCTTCGTATCGCTCGTCTTCTTTCCAACGAAGGTCAGCAGCCGTCTGTCGCGCCTGGTCGCACACGCAGCATCGAAACTCTCGCTGTGCATCGATGCATTTTCGTGCGGTTCAGGAATCTCGTTAGCCCGACGAAATTGCGCTTCATTCTGAAAACAATTCTAAAATCAGAGCTTGATTTGTGTCTTTCTTATCATATAAAGATTAATTTTAAATACATGATGATATATAATATGTATATAATTCAGTTTTTTTGGTAAAATCTTTTTCAAAAGTAATTTTTTTTTTTTGAAAAATAATTCTTTTTACAAATTATTGCAACTTGAGAAACAGAGAATAGCACTTTATCTGAAAAATAAAAAAATTTTGTACTCTCAAGGTAAAGAAATGACGTAATTATTATTGACAATATTGTCTAATTTAATTTTAAAATGATTCATATATAAAATGATTCATATATTTTTAAGTAAAATTTAATATAAAAATACAATATTCTCGAGAGAGACATAGATAATATACAACATAATTTCAAATGCGAATCAGATTTATTTAGCGACTATCATATTTATAAACTGAAAACCGGTTTATCTTTAACTTTGTGCTATATCGACGAACCGCATTCCTTTCCATCGCGCTATAACAGAACTCTATTTATAGAACGTTTAAATTGTTAATCTTTTTGTAAAGAAAAATTTATTTAAAAAAATTAATACAAAGTGCACGTTTATATCTAAACATATTGTAAATTAAATACAAAAATTTTAAAAATATTATTTTATCTTTTTAAATTTCTTGACATTCAAAAATTTTCTAATTTACAGAAAGTAAAAAGGTAAAATAAAGAAGAATAAATATCAACAAATTTATATTCGATAAAATTATTAATAAAAATTTAAATATATATTATTGTAGAAAGTTTCGAAAATAATCGATAATTCAGCATATTTTCAACAATTAAGATTTAAGAATCTTAATAAATCATCAAAGAAAATCTCTCTCTTTCCTCTTATCTCCGAATACTTTAAATATGAATGCGTTCTCTCTCTCTTTATTTCTTTTGCTGGACGATAAAAGTTCTTTTTTATTATATCTTTGAAAGAAACAACTCTATTTAATTAATAAGCACTTGTCAAAAAATACTATTGGAATCGTCAGAGTTAAAATTGATCTCTCAGTCATCTCTAAAAGAAAGATCGTTAGAAAACAACCGCTTTAACGGGCTTTAACTACGGTGAGCAAGCGATCGATCATCCGAGGCGGACCTTGGCATTCGATCAGACAGGAAGAGCAATGTTTTTTTACGGCATACTCGAAGAATGATCGTGCTAATGAATGAACTTGTTCGTCGGTATTCCGTTATACGTTATTTCTTACAACTTAGTAATCCACGTGGAAAATTGCGTTCTTTTGCACGCACTTAATCGCGCACAAGCGCTTATGTAATCGGCATGATCGGGACTCTCGGTTCGATTTCTCAATAAATAATCTATGAATTGCACGTATTACGTAATAAAATAACAGTAATAATTGCGCCGGAGGTGCAAACTAAAGTAATTTTGGGTAATTCTCATAATTTTAGCATTTATTCTTCAATTAAATAAGACCATGAAATTAATTCTGCTAATTATGGGAGATTATGAAAGAAATTTGCTATTAAAATTGATTGGTTTGACCGTATTTTTAGTTGCAATGTTTAAATATAATTCTAGTGTACTTTATTTTTTTCTAAGGTAAAAAACTCATTAAATATGAAAATAGCTTGATAATTTGAAATACATGAAAATAGCATCATTTGAAAAATAAAAATAGCAATTATACTAATTGTAAGCGATGAATACATACGAACAATAGGATTACACTTTAAAAATAATTTCTTCGGAATTCTTAAGGTTTGATTTGGGTTATTTAAAAATAAACGGCTCGCGTAGCGATTAGGTTTTTCCGTGTCACATTTCTAAATTAAAGCGAACCGTCATAATTATTCAGAAACACTGGTTACATAAGTCAACTTATAGGAATCGCTCTCGGTATATATCTGTTCGAGATTCCTTTGGGGAACGTTGCAAAACCACTACGAGACGGTATATGACTAATAGATGTTTAACGATTATACGTGTCCGGCTTCTTTTTCATTCTGAAAACGCATGCACACATGCATAGATAAACTGAGGCAATTATGCGAGTCCCTGTCGCGTTACAAGTTATACAGTGATCGCTCTCGGAATTATCAGTTATCGAACTGAAATTTAATAGAACACACGCTCTTTATCATAGAATATTTATATATGTGAGACGATTATTTAGAAAAATATTGTGTGGAAAAAGTGGATATTAGTTGGATTTTTCGCGACTATCTTCTTTATTTTATTTTTTAATCTTTTTGACTTATTGCTTTTATTATCTGTTTTATATAAATTTTTATATTTGTATTTATAACTTTTATATTTTAAATTTTTATGTTTTTATATATATTATATATATATATATATATATATATATATATATATTTTTTTTTATTTTTATAATTTTTTAAATTTTTATAAATTTTTATTGTATAAAACACATATATACATGTATAGATATATACTTTTTATTTGTGTCTAAATTTGTTATTCTTATATGCATAAATCTAAAAACTTGAATAACTTTTTACAATCTTTGCAAACTCAATTAATTCAATATTCTTAGCAAACTTCTCGCGAAAAACACACAAGATTCTCTCCTGTTCAAAAGTCTTGTATTATCTAAAACTTAAGATAAATATAGAAAACAATTTTTAAAAAATTTATATTTTTATCGATTCTAAAAAAATAAAAATTTTGAAATTTGAAAAGCAGACAGCTATTGTTCCGAATTTTTAGCACATTTTTTTCTACTTTCTAATTTATTTTAACGAATGTGAAATAAATTCCTCGACAGAATGTCGCTTTTGGTATTCGCGACGTTGACGTGCGAGCCGGAAATTCGTCTCCGACCAAGTAAGGGGCTCTAGCTGCGGAGGCAATGACATTGCTCACAATGCCAGGATGCGCCGCCGCCGCCTGCATCGGCCGATGGCATCGTCCGCGGTCGCTTCCATGAAATCTGCCTCGTTGCCATCCGTAAATGAACGACGCTTTTTTGCCTCAGACAAGTTTTCACGGAATTAAACGAGCTCAGAATATTAATCGGAGAAGAAACTCACACTGCTCATGAATACGCGATTACACTGATAAATGCATTCTTATGGAGGATGTGCATCGATCAATGGGTGCATTGTTCTTTCGAGTGCTATGATTCATTTAAATATCAATAAAGTTATATTATTATTATATAAATTATACGTTATATTATTATTATATCATATCATAAATATACATAAATTTGCAAGAAAAAGTTATCAAAATGCAATTTTTATCAAATACGTTATTAATTATGTGCAATCTACTTTGCGTTTCTTTTATTGCATAAAATGTACAAAGTACATATAAAGTGGCATTGAAGAAATTATTATTTTATTATTATTTTATTATTATTTTATTGTTATAGAGGAAATTATTTTATTATTTTATTATTTTATTGTTATTGAGGAAATTATTATTTTAATTATTATTATTTTCGTCAAATAGATATGCAACAGCATGAATCGAATCTACAGCCTTCAAGAAATATAGAATCGATGAAAATTATTTCTATTATTTCTCGTGTTCTGTGAGAGATACATTTTCAAATGTTTCGAAATATAAAATTTATTCGCTGTCTGATAATAATCTTACGAGCTTATTTTTTTTCGTGTTTTCAGCACCGAATAGCCCGCTTCACCGTAGCAACAGAGCTCACGTCTTGCTCCTGTTGAATAGGCCTTTAGCCGCTCTCACGGACGCAGATCATGCAGTTAGATTGCGGCCAGACTGGGGCAAGGTGAGGAAACACAGAACTTACCTGCCTATAATCAAGTGCATATGTCAGATAACAGAATAATTTTTCGTATATATTTCAAGTCAAAATATAAGCATTTCGATTTAAGATTGGTAGTTTTCATTTTTTAATTTTAAATTTAATAAAATGTTTTTTTTCTATAATTATAATAAAATTTAATTTTTAAAACTTTTCACATCTCTTTACATCTTTTTACTTTACCAATTTGTTACAATATTATTTAATATAATATAATATTTTTTAATCAATATAATATTTGTTAAAATATGTACGAATGTCAATTTGATTGATTTTATATTAAACGTATATCATATATAACTAAAATTAATGTTATATAATTTTATTATCAAAGAAATAATTATTAGCTTATTGTTAGAATAAAAATTTATATTTTTATAATATTTTATGTCTTTTTAGGGACATTATAGAAGAGGAGTCGCTTTGTCCGCGCTTGGAAGACACGAAGAAGCAATCTATGCTCTTTGCATAAGCGTGGCCATTGATAAAAATCCGCAAGCTATACGCCATGAATTGACCAAGGTATATTTGTCGTTCTTTCAATATAATATATGATAAATTTTATTCTATTCTTTTGTTTGTTTTTAATTTTTCCTATAAGATGGTAAAAAAGTTATTATTTGTGGACAAATTGTGGACAATTGAATATTAATTTTGTAAAAATTGCTTGGCTAATTTTATAGATTTAATTAATTTTATTAAATTAATAAAATTAATGTAATAATTAATAAAATTAACGTAATAATTAACTAAACATTAATAAAATATAGAATAAAAATAGCAAGTATAAATCTCAAGGTTTTCTTGTAAAATGCAATTTACATTGTCCGATAATAAGTTTGAATAATTATAAACTTTTGATTTAAAAATTTAAATTTGCCTTTTGCTATGAAGAATCTTTATAGTTGAAATTTTTCCAATAACCAGAAATTATCAATCGTCCAGATTCACAATTTAAGCCCGATTCGCATCGAGTATCATTTACGCAGATTTACTATTTGCATATTCCTGTAGCTTGTAGAAATAAGAGAGGCAGGATTAAGAAAATCAGATAAATCATAAGTAAGAAATTCATATTTTTCCGAGTCACATAATCGCCCGACTCACAATCGGAATGTGTTTCTTAGAAGATATTTTTTGCCGTGAAAAATTTCGTATAATTGAAGTCCTTCCGGAAACCAAAAATTATCGTTCAAATTCGAGTCACAATTTGAGTCACGATTCGCTTACACAAATTTAAAATATTTGCATATTCGTACATCTTTAAGCGAAAAAAAGGTATGATTGAGAGGATCGGATGAATCATCGCCGGATCGTAAATAAAAAAATCCACATTTTCTGACAATTGGGATGCGCCGAGATCGGTTCGAGAGTGTCGTCTCCGGCCTCGGAGAGCATCATCGACACAAAAGAAACGCGGCGTTTCCGGCATTATTGTTGGCGGCCGCGTGCCGACTTAATGACTCGGGTACGATAGTCGTCAGGTGAGTGACCCGCATGCCAGTGGCAACGATAACCACATACGAACCGACGTTATTCTCGCCAGAGCGAATGCGCCGCGCCGTCGTTTCCTCTTCGTTGCTCTTCGCGGCAGCGACCGCGTCGATATATCGATCTTCCACCGTGTGACGCACGGGTCCCCCACTCTCTCATGCATAATGCAAAACCCCTTCTACGACGAATTTTTTCACCGTCGTACATAGTCCTCTCGTTTATCTTCTTGAAAAAGTTCCATTTTCAGGGATAATCTGTCTCGCAAGCGTCTTCAATTTGCGCGCGACATAATTTTTTGCGATTTAAAATTTTTTATTATTTTTCATCCACTCCCCTTTTCTTGAATTTTCATCTTTAAAATGAATGAGACTCTTCTATCTGACAAAAAGTATAAAAATAAATATATTGCAATATGCAAACGTATAACTGCGATATATATAAAATAAATTAAAATTAATACGAAAATTAAGTATAAAATTAAATATAAAATAAATTAAAATTAATACGAAAGAAATTGAAATTTATCGCAAACTTACATTTATTATATTTCAACTATGAGCATGTTATATTATGGGCATTTGAAATGATTTAATTCATGTTAAAATTTGCAAAATTTCTGCAAATAACGATTGCGATATGGTAACAATCTATGAACATTAAATAATAAACGTTGACAGGTGAGATTTTGATGCGATAGATGATTCAAAAAACGGAGCGTGTAGAATTCTTTTCTTTCTCGAGCGACGATTACGTAAGCGCGCGCACGATGGCGGAATCATTGATGCAAGCTGCATTGCTACTTATGTAAGATCGGGGAATCATTCTTTCCCGTGTCGCTGAATCTGTCGGTCGGATCTACTTTACGGAAGGCGCACTTTTACTTTTCATCACCCGAAAACATCTCCCAGATTGCTTAACCGCGATATTTTATACGTTAATTATGTCGATTTAACGAATCTTGGTTAATCTCTAGAATCTCCGAATTTTCGGGTATGAGACATGTTGAAAGATACGTATGTTACTGAAGGAATAATGGATTTAAGTCATAATTAGCGAAAGTTTCAAAATCTTGATTCACTATAATCAATTAATTTGGAATATTAATTTTTTTTGTCTTTGTCCAGAGATAGCATTTTATATACCTAATTTGAATATGTATTTTAGTCCCTAAAATTATTATTTTAATATTTATATAATTTTTTTTATATATTTATATATTTATTTTATATATTTATTTTATATATTTATTTTATTTTATATATTTATTTTATTTTGTATAAAAACTTTATTAAATTTAAGAGAGAGAATTAAACTATAACAACACATTTTAATTTAACTAGTCAAATGATGATAATTGGCTCTTACATTTTCTATGTCAAATTTAATCTTTCTTTCTAAAAAATAAATAAATTTCTTTCTACGAAATAAATTAAATGTAGTCAATTAATTTGAAATGTTAATTCTTTGTCTTTGATCTACAATAGAGATAACGTTTTACACATCTAATTTGAATATGTATTTTAGTCCCTAAAATTATTTTAATATTTACATAAATTGTTTTATATATATTTATTTGGTAATTATATAAAAAGGGCCCATCTTCACACAAATGTGTTATTGACGTATGTTGTAAAGATGTTATCCCTGATTAATTCCTGATTAATTTCTGAAGGTTTTAGTTGGCGGTCATTCGTTATTCAAAAGTTATTAACAAATAAATGTGAGAAATATTGACATAAAGATTCTATTTTATTTGTTCACCGATTTGCTTCATTTTTAAATATGTTATAGGGGAGATTTTCCCGAGTAATTTCGTATATATATAAGGGTCGGACTCAAATAATTTTGGAGATATAGGCTGAAAAAGGATAAAAATAATAAATACAAAAATAAGGTAAACCTTCGGAAAACCTACCTATATGAAATAATGGGTAAGAATACCCAATTTCTACGTATTTTTATCTTCTGAACACGAAAATGAAACTTAGAAATAGCGGTCAAACTCGCAAGTCGAAGTAAAATGCAAAAAAAGGTAAATTTAAGGTAAATAAAAAAAGATAATTTAAATTTATATAGAATTTAATACAATTTAATACAATTAAAAAATATCAAATGTATGTGTATCAAATGTATGTGTACACACATACACACATACACACGCGCGCGCACGGGGGGGTGCAAGGGGGACCTAAAACTATAACACATTTTAATTTAATTAGTCAAATGATGATAACCGACCCTTACATTTTCTATGTCAGATTTACTCTTTCTTTCTAGAAAATAAATAAATTTCTTTCTAGGAAATAAATTAAATGTGAAATATCAAATAATTTGAAATGTTAATTCTTTGTCTTTGTTCTACAATAGAGATAGTGTTTTATTTAAACCAAATTTGAATTATGCATTTTTTATATGCATTTTACTCTCTAAAATTATTTTGATATTTATATAAATTTTTCCATATATATTTATTTTATTTTATATAAAAACTCTATTAAATTTAAGAGAGAGAATTAAACCATAAAATATTATAAGTTTTAATTTAACTAATCAAATAATAATTGGCAATTACATTCTCCATGTTAGATTTTCTTTCTCTTTTTTTTCTTTTTAGAAAATAAATAAATTAAATAAATACACATATTTAAGCATATTTCTAAAACTTAATGATATTATCTCATATTATCAATGATTTGAAATTTACTTTGAAAAATAAATAATCTGCATTAATAATATGTCTTGTCGTCTATTTTATACTCTGTTATTTGATTGCATGTTACTCAGTTTGTGACCGTTTATCACAGGTTCTGCACAGAGCGCTGTCGCCTGGAATACGTCGACAGAATGTTCTGTCGTCACGCACGCCATACAATCTAACGAAGAGCGCGTCACGCACGAGAAACCGTCATCACTTAATGAATCCCAAATGCAGGCAACGCGCTATCCTGAACAGGTCTGATTGCGAGGACAATAGCAGTGGCGAAGAGGAATTCACTCGAGTACGCTTTTCAAAAATTACACATTCTGTGCTTATTTTTTGTACAAAAAATGCTTAATATATTTTAATAAATATTATTTTATAAATGTTATATTAATTTAAAGTCAATAATTTAAAAAAAAAATCATCTTGAGCATTTATATTAAAATGCTCCAATTTTAAGTTCCATTTTTATTTTTATTTTCCTTGTTTATCGATATATATCTTTCCAATGTATCTCCAATTCAGTTTTTTCACACCATCGTTCACGACTTACTATATTACTTTTTATCTTATTTCTTTTATTCTCTTTGCAGACGATAAACAGAAGACTTCGTTCCTCCATCACTCCACAGGTCAATACAAAGTTGCAAGCAAGTCTGAACCGAGTTTATCAGGATGTAGAAAAACTGAAACGTAAGTTTTATCGTCCGCTACCTCGTTCGTACATTCAAATATCTTCTTTATGTTTTTAAAAATAGTCTGAGATGGTATTTCGTTTGCAGGAATCGAACCGAGACCCGCTGAAATCCTCTTGCCGCCCCTTTCCGGCTGCACCGCCGGGGAATTGGACTGTATTTTATGTTGCCGCCTGCTCTGGAAACCTGTCACGACACCGTGTGGTCACACTTATTGCTGGATGTGCCTGGATCGTTGTCTGGATTACTCCTCGGCTTGCCCTTTATGCGTCACATCTTTGGCTGACGTAAGAGAGAATTTTTTAAAATAAATCTTAATTAATATTTTATTATTTATTTTTTATTATTTTAAAAAGAATTTTTATTTAAAAGAATGGTTTTGCAATAACATTTGAATATAAAAAATTCATTAAGGTAGATAAACGATTAGCAAAAATGATACCACGTATATTTTGCACTTGATTAATCTAAATGACAAACTGAATTTTTCTATTAGAGAAATTAAAAAAAAAAATTAGATAATCTTTTGTTGTTATATCTAAAAAAATCTACCTACATCAGCACAACTTTTTTTGAGTGATTATGCAACAATCCAACGTATTAAGCTATTATTCTAATTTATAAAGAATATACTTAATAATAATTCCATAATAATTTTGAGGTAATTTATTTTTTAGTAAGCATATATAAAAAAATTTAAGATCCTTTTTCTTGCAAAATATTTCAAAGAAATTTTAACTTTGTTAAGTTAATCAATTTATACATCATATTTCTAGTCATATTTTATACATGAATCTATGTGAATTCTATTACATAATTCAACGCTTATAAAAAAACATGTACATTCTCATAGATATTTTTTACAGATTATCTAAACTCTTATTTGGATTTTAAATACGAAATAGTACACTTAGGTTACCTTCAAATTATTGTAATTTAAAATTACTGTGATCAACTTTCCGCTTCTCTGGCATTACACTCGCAATTTACAAACAACTGATGCATATTTCACATGTCTTCCTCAAATCTTTTATTTTAAAACTAACTTATTAGTCACACGAGTCGTTGATCCCGAAGAGCTTGACAGGGAAATGCATCAACGCGAGATGCTGCAACAACACCTACCCGCAAATGAGACATAAATGCTTCCTAGCGGTTAACAACGATGCCGCAGATTGAAATGATTATTGTTTGCGGTCGTCGAGGCGATCGTGAGCTTCCGCGTTCGTAACGTCATTATTGATCGGCCGTACAAGTATTATATTTAATGACGAGGAGGACAACGCGATGCGCGGATCAGCGGTGATCTTGCGGCGCGCCGCTGCTCGTTTCCTCGTGCCATCCCCATAATATCAATAATTGCACTTGTCAGAAAGACTGTTCCTGCGATGCTCTCTTTGCTATTGGGGGTGTAATTGACGTTGTATAAACCGCATTGCTGGTTTATTAATTTTTAGCCCATCAAATTCGTGAAAAATACCTTTCAACGGAATTTATTATAATTTAATTTTATATAATATTAAATTATACAGGGTGTCCTACCTAGAAGTGGCCACCCCCTTTTATTTTTTAAATTCAAAGAGATAGACCATAACAAATATATATGAAATTAAATAAGGCTTTAACTGAACTTTATTGTGATATTTTGTAGATATTTTGATGTAGATATTTTGATATAATAAAAATTGTAACGCTGTTTAAAACGAATATAACGATGTATGATTTAATGTAAATATTTTACATATTATACGAGATTTTCCGGCTTGAAATATCACGGGCGACGTCCACCATTTCATTTTCGGCCCTGCGATATAGCCAACTTCTGACTCGTGCATTAGAGGTTGACATATGTCATGTTATTTAATCATGATACTCAGTCAGAAGTTGGTTATATCGCAGGGCCGAAAATGAAATGGTGGACGTCGCCCGCGATGTTTCAAGCTGGAAAATCTCGTATAATATGTAAAATATTTACATTAAATCATACATCGTTATATTCGTTTTAAACAACGCTATAACTTTTATTATATTAAAATATCTACATTATTATAAAAAAATTATACATATCTCTCCGTTCTTTAATAGATAAATTTTGTAATCAATCACTATACTTACAATAAAGTTCAGTTAAAGCCATTTAATTTCATATATATTTGTTATGGTCTATTTCTTTTAGTTTAAAAGATAAAAGGGGGTGACCACTTCTAGGTGGGACATCCTGTATATTTATAATTTAATTTATTATAATTTAATTTTAAATAAAATCTTAATTTATTATAATTTAATTTTAAATTATATTTATTATAACTTAATTTAGACAAGTAAATCTCAAGAATAATTTATTTGTCTTACTTGTTAAAAAATGATAATAGATATGACGCATATGGTAAGTTCATTGACCAATTATGTTCTTCACCTTTCAGTATCTAGCCAGCAGTCAGAAAACCGTGACGGATTTTGTAGAGAAAGCGCTTAAAACGGTGGCGCCCACGGAATACACCTCCAGAGCGGTGAGTCATCGACTCGAACTGGTCCAGGGACTGGGTCTTTTGGGTAACGAGCAGATCGCCATCTTCATTTGCACGACAGCCTTCCCCTGCGTCGCCTGTCCTCTCTTCGTTTACGAGCCTAGGTACAGGCTAATGGTCAGAAGATGCGTTGAAAGTGGAGTGCGCCAGTTCGGAATCGCAGCGTGTCTTAACAAGGAAGCAACGGGCACAAAAAGGTGCGTGGATTTTCTTTCGCGATAAATTGAAAAATTTATAATTAAAATTTATACATTAATAATTTAATTTCGAAATATTTTTATATTTTTTTACTTTGTTTACATTTCTTTCAATCAATATTTCTAATATATCAATTAATTACTAAGTAAGTGAGAAAATTTATTATTGAAATATGAAACATATAGCATTTATCAATAATATACAGGGTGTCCCACTTAACGAATCAGCCGTTAATAGCAGATTCCTGAGATCATTTGAAGATGAAAATTTTAATACTAAAATGTTGAGGGAGACTTCATAAAAATGTTCAAATTACTGACTACTGTCGCATCGAAGACAATCGCGCTCAGAATCCTATTTTTTATTTTATATTGATCCCTCTATCGATATCGATATTATCACACTGTCCCTGATGCGCTGTTCCTGAACACAGGAGAACGTAACGCATCGATTGGTAATCTTTAATCAGGGTTGGGAAGTAACGCGTTATTTGTAATGTCGTTACCATTACAATTACTTTTTTCAGTAACTGTAACGGTAACGACATTACAAATTTCGTTAGTAACGAAAAATGTAACGAAGTAGTGATAAATGTAACTGTTAAATTCGTTACTCGTTACCGAAAAATGTAACGAAGTTACTCGTTACTCGTTTCCGACGAAGTAACGAATTTAACAGTTACATTTATCACTACTTTTTGCAAATTTACTCGGTGTAATTTTCATTCAAAGAAGAGTGTGGAATGCAAAATCACATGTACGTAAACGCGTCATTGGACACATGTGAAAAAAAAAGTTTAGTGAAGATGTTCAGTGTTGGTGGATCTGTATTAACGCCACAAAGGGGGCAGCTAAATGATGACAGTTGAACAGCAAATTCTTTTAAAAATTAATAAAGAATTTCGATAAAATTTAGTAATGTTTTCATTTATTTTAAAATAAACCCTGTAATATTTAATAAACTTATATTTAAAAAAGTAACAAAAATTGTAACGACGCATTATTTTTAAGTAACGATAACGATAACGAGTTACTTTTGAAAATTGATAACGAGTAACGGTAACGAGTTATTTTTTAGAAAAAAGAACGGTAACGGTAACGAGTTACTTTTAAAAAGTAACTTTCCCAACCCTGTCTTTAATCTTTTATAGCGCCGAAACTATATCTTTCTCAACATTTTGGTTGGTATTAAGATTTTCGTTTCCAAATGATCTCAGGAATCTACCACGGCTGACTCGTTAAGTCTGAGACACCCTGTATTATAAATTCTAATTGTTTGAAATATAAAGAACTTAAAAAAATTGAAAATTTTTCTTTTTAAATTTTGATAACAAGCATTTTTATTACATACATAATTTATGACTCATATAAAGTTTTTTTCATATACCTATATCTAATAGATACAACTGCAACAACAATTAATAATGAGACAATAATGCTGCGATATTTCAGATACGCGGAATATGGTACTATTTTAGATATTCGAGATCGAGTATTGCTCAAAGACGGTTGCAGTATTCTCAGCACGATCGGTGGTAGAAGATTTAGGGTACTTTCCGGTGGAGAAAAGGATGGTTACGATACGGCACAGGTAGAATTTCTCAGGGATACCATCGTGCAACAGGATCAATTATTAAATCTGCTGGAGCTTCATGATAAGGTAAAGGAGTTGATATGTGTAATAAATATAATAAATTTTTAATTTATCACAATTAGTCTTCAACAATTTAAAAAAATCTGTATTTAATCATCTATTTCTCTTAAAATATTAATGATCTTATCCTGATTTATTTACTCGAAATAAGTGAAAAGAAACATACTCTTCATGTTAATGACAAGAGAGCGCAGCTATATTTTTCCTGTTATCATTATAATAGGTACGAGCAAAAGGCCGAAGATGGTGGGAAACGGTGCCTACCTCTCAAAAGTCCGAGATCCAACGAGTGTTCGGGCACATGCCGGATACAGAGGAGGACTGGTCGCGTCTACCGGACGGTCCATCGTGGACATGGTGGTTGTTCGCAATCCTGCCATTGGGACCGCAGTTACAAGTGGGCATCCTGGGCACCACTAGCCTGGAAAAACGATTGCGAGCTATCGAGAAGACTCTCGATCACATGGAACAAAGGCAACCAACCGTCGCGGCCGCTCAATCTGAGCAGACGACAACATCGTCGAGCATTTGTAGGGATGGTAGAACGATCACGGAGACGGCAATGTCGGTCGTTCAGCAATCGTAGAGAGCAACGAAGCGTCTCGATACCTTGGAAGCAAACCAATGTCATTCTGTGGCCTGGAGATAGAACGGCGAACCTCGGTATCTCGCATTCTGCGAAAGAACTTCCAGTAGCAAAAGATAGTCCTTTTAATCAGGCAAATTATTTGAAAAAAATATTCTAAAGTTCCATTAAATGATTCTTCGTATTTGCCGGATAAGCTTTGATATCATTCGGTAGAGATGAGTAAGATGCGATATCTCCAACTTTTCCACAGACTGCAAGTCTTGAAAATTGCATTTACTAAGCTCATATTTTTGATCTTATTGCGCATCCTTGCGCAAGACATGATATTTCTCTAAGTCCATGTCACAGGAGGACATTTCATTTACACTCTAAACTATTAATTTAGTCGGTTAAATCTTTTCTACATCGATCTCTCATCCGCTGTCGTCCCCGCGACGCGAGTCCTCGATTGACCCTTCGATTCTACACTCGACGTACAAAAAGAGTAATATCCGTAGAACGCGTAAACACTCGAAACGCCCTGTTAGAAAATTGGGTCAATCGATCAGCAAATGCACCTGTCCCTCGATTCCGTTTGGCGGGGAGTTTCGAGCGGCTCCTTGTCTCTCTTCTTAGGTTTAATAAGGAAACGTTTGGAAGTATATATATATAATTTAAAAATATATTTAAAATTTTTGTTCAAAATTTGTTTAATATATCTTACAATTTCCATGATATTTGCCCAAGGACAGATGAATCTGCTCTGAGAAATTGCCTCAATTTTTGAAATTACAAAACATTTACAAAAATATATATTTCTTATTTTTTTTATCCCCTATTTAAGTTTTTATAACATATTTAAAGATCATCAAACTTGAAAGGGGACTCTCTCCAAATGTTTCCTTATAAGTTAAGTTCCAATCCGAGCATCTTGCACTTCGTGCTCGTTAAATCTTCTACAGGACGCTTTATCGACGAAACGCGGAAAACAAGTACGTTCATTTAAAATGATGAAATACATAATGATAATAATAATCATTATTATTATCTGGAACGCTCACTGGGATAAACAATATTTATTTTTTATGCAGTATATTATTTTTTCGGTACATTTTTTATGCAATAAATTTTATGTAATAATTTCTTGTTGACGTTCCAGAATTAATTGTGATATGAAAGAAATGCGTTATCCCAAATCTGGTATATATATTTCGATCAAATTAATGACTGGAAACATATCTGTAAGAACAAAACGTCGCGTTTCCTCAATAAGGCGTACCGATTTTCTTCGCGCTATCGCAATACGCAAATCTGTTCTTCCAGATATAATATTATATAACTACATATTATATACTTACATATATATATGTATACACACATATTTATGTATACACATTCGGATGCATACACGTGATAAAATCGGAAGTAAGCCGTCTCGTTTTAAATATTTGAATGCGTTATAAGATATACGTAATATTTGAGTGCGTAATATAACGCATAGTGGATCGAATATTATAATGTAATATAATAATTCAACAAGACTTTGTTATAATCTACATGGATTCAATTAATAATTATTATCAATTTATTAAATTAATAATCATTCAATTAATAATTATTATCAGTCATATAATGAGGACCAATTGTTTTAATCAAAATTTAAATTACAAAGACAATTTTTTCCGAAACAATTTTGATCGAGATTAGTTACAATATTTTATTGTATAAAATATTTATAATTACAATATTTTATTTATTATGTACAATGTGTCTCAGCATTGTGTTATAATTAAGTATCATCAAATTTGCGTGGATATATATGTATATATATATATATATATATATATATATATATATATATATTTCGATAATATTCGATATACTATACGCATGTTAAAGGGTTCGCTTCCGTTTCACGTGGATGCATTGAAATCTCGTGCACGAAAATTCGTCAGTGAGCGAATGCATCAGATGGAAAATAATGCTATCGGAAAAAGTAACTATTTGCATGTAGAAATATATATTTTTACTTCATCGTACAGTTGGAATCGAAATTTTTCCAATATTGTATGTCGACATTAACTATCCCATTTGTCTATTATATATATAGGCAAATACATTCATTGCATGTAAATTTATTTTTATAATTATGAGAACATGCATCTTGTTTTCTATTTTATTAAAATAATATTTATTCAATTTTATTAAAAATTTTATTAAAAATTGAATTGAATTCAATTCTATTAAAAATATTATCCAGGATAAAAAATAAAAAAAAAACTACATGCAAACATCTATTAATGCAATAACTTGCGCACCGTCAAGAAAAATAACGTATCTAAAATATTTGGACAGATGAGATGTTATCGAGTGATTTTTCGCGACATGCCGAAATTACATTTCATTGATGCAATCGCTCTACGAACGTTTCACGAGTCTGCCGGTACAATCACGCGCGAAAGCGCGATTGTGGAGAGAGGTTTGATATCCGAAGTAAAAATTTATTCGGAAAAACGCAAACATTCTCAGACGAGAATGCGTGAAATCCTTTTCGGCTCTCTGGATGTCATTTGCACGAATCGCGGAAATTTTCCGGATCGCGCTGACGATCGCGCCGATATAGATTTTACACAACGACGGATGGTTCGCGTGTTCCGCGGGGCCCAAAATCCCGAAATCTTTTTATACCGTCTAGATTTATTCCGTCGTTCGTAAGATTTTTTGATTATGCTAGCACATAATAATTTATTTTCACGCGGCTTTTCCTACCGTCGAGACACAGAGATCGCCCGAGGAGCTAGAAAAAGTCATATCAATCGCGCAATCATTTCGTGAGAAACATAAATAGCACGATTGTCGTTACTATTGTCGCAATTAACCATTAGAAAGGCTAGAGAACAGAATATTTCAATGAAAATTGATTTCTGGCAATTAATTGCTTGTTTTTCCACGCATATAAAATTTCAATGAGTAATTTATTTACGATGTTTTGTATTTGTGGTATTTTGAAATATTTTCTACAAACTATTTTGAACACATTTAATAATAATAGTTTACATGATATATAGCTACTAAATTTTTCCACAATAACGAATATTCTACTCTTTATTGTTACATTTTTTAATATAAAAATCGATTTATATAATATATTATCTCTTTAGAGCTCTCTTTATTTAATATTATTTTTCAATCTTTTTTTAAAGATTTTTAAATTACTTAATTTGAATTATTACGTTATTTTTTTTAAATAGAAAACAAATATTAAAAGTCTACAATTCAAATGTGCAATAAATGAACTGTTTTTAAATATTTTTAAAAAATATAAAAGTTATAAATCTTTCTACCTTCTATATTCACCAATTTAACTATAACAATATTTTATCAAATTAATAATATCTTAAAGATTTCGATGTATATAATGCATATTAAATATAACTCTCCCATTCTAAATTTGTAAGATATTCAAATCAATCATATAAATCTCATAATGTTATATTTAATATTAGATTCAGATTTTATAATTAAAAGTTCTTCCATTCATATAGAATAAGCATTGTTGATGTGATTATCAAATATAAATTTTTTTGCATGATAATAATGGCGACAATCGTTACGAATCGGTGTATCTCAAGTAGATACACCTGCGAAAGTATAAATTAAAAAAAGTACTATAATTAAAAAAAGTACTATAGAAAGTTTTATAATTGATCAATATATAACGCGTAATATATACACTCCGTTCGTCTCTGCGGCAATCGAGAGAAGCACATCCTCTATTTAGATTTGTATTCTATTCTCTAGACTTTTACGAAATTGTGAATCATGCATTGTGATATTACTATATAGCCTACCTTGTATATTATTATTGCTACGTTACAACTATTATACGTAATGCCACACGACTTTCCATTTTTACTTCGACATTTCTATATATTTATCTTCATCTCTTCATATGAAAAATATTGTAATAAAATATACGAAGCCAAAAATCTAATCGAATTGTTTTTTGCGAAAAGAAGGAGGGAAGCCTTGATCGTAAAATGCTTAGTCTTACTTTTTCTATTATTCCAAAGTTTATATTACAACTTTATATTAAACAAAAGTAATATATATTTTCAGTATATTTAAATTTTATGTATTGCAATTTTAAATTTTGATGATTTAATTTAAATGTAATTTTCTTCGCCAAGAATAATTATGATAAAGCATGTTGTTATTCAAACAATTCTATATTCTTGCTGTGTGTTCTTAATTTAATTTTTTAATTATTGTTATTATTTGAGTCAATATTTTATTTTAATTCTAAATTTTATTTTTAATATTTTTTTAGTATTTTTTTATAATACGTTTATTAAATGCAAAAACTGATAACTGATAATAAAGCGTCATCTTGTATACATATTGTATACATATTTCGATTCGATATGCATATCAATTCTATATCGAAGAATCAATCAACCGCGATATTCAGATCGTGTTAATTCAACGTGGCTACGTCGAGCATGAGCAACAAGATTGAATACTTTGTGAAGTATTCAGTTGCACCTCCGCCCAGCAGAGATTATTACGGTCTAAAGATTCTTCAAGACGAGGTACTAATGAAATTAATTAAATTGTCATTCGTTTTCTTTATATCTACATAACTTGTCATGTTTTTAGGTGATTTTATACTTGTGGAGGATCTCTCACGGACCCCACAAAGGACCAATCGTACATCGTGCCAAGCTCATCGAATTCAATCAGGAGAAAGCCTTGCAAGACGAAATACGTTACGCATTTGGTAACATATTTGACTTTTAAAAAGTATACTTATATTTATCAGCGGAATTCAGAATTTTTTTGTGATATTATTTTACAAGATCATGTTGTGTGAAATTTTCAGATTTTGTTTAAAGTGATTATTTTATTTTGATAATTTTATTACTTATTATTATTTTATTACACTGTAGGTAGACATTTGTTAAAACACGTGAAAAATATTGCCGAAGGGAATAGAAATACTCTTTTGACTTTACCCAAAAATTTAATCGGAAGAATTTCAAGATATTTAAAATTCACAGATATTATCAAATTATCCTCGTTGTCGCACGTCGCCTATGAGGTAAAAAAAATGTTAAGAAAATTAGAGTAATATCTTACTTTCCCTCTGCTTCTATTTTTTTTTTAAAGAGAACTAATTTCTTTACACATATAGAAATTTTCTGCTATCTTAAAACGAAGATACAATATTATAAATAAATTTGAATTATGCGTTATTATAATTAATTATTATATTACTTTTATATAATAATTTTTTTAAATATAATATTTATTAATATTTAATATAATATTTAATAAATTTTAATATAATATTTAATATATTCGCGATATATTCACGATATATTTTAAATAATATTTAATTATAATATTTAATAAATTTTAATATATAATAATATTTAATAATATTTATTAATATAAAAAATGAAATTTAAAAGATAAAAAAAGTAAATATTTTATTATATTTACATATATTTACATACATAATAGAATGTATGTATAATTTGTCTTTTTCGCAATTTGTATTTATTTTAGGAAAATCTCAATATTAAATTAATAACTAAGATAAAAAATAAAATTAATAAAATTTCAATACATTTTTATTACAAGATACAATAATCATATTATATATATATATATATATATATATATATATATATATGTATGTGTATATATGTATTTATCTAATAGATTATACTTTTTAGGTATTTAATACTGATTCAATCTGGCAGATATTTTACAAGAGAGACAAAAAAGCCGAAGTTAGTCTAGAGGAAAGGGAGAAGGCTAGAATCTATGGTTGGAAGCAATTGTATAAAGATAGACAAATGCAGACGTCAATAAGAGATCAAAAAGTACAAAACGACGAAGCAAAGCTTTTAATGATAAACAAAAATAAATTTGTGTTTAACAAAAACATACAATAAATAATTTTTATTCTTTTTCAGAATTTTTCTCGAGTTCCGGTTAAACTTATAAATGATGCAAAAACTAATCAATTACTGGGACCCACACGTACACATACAAACACCAGCAATGCGTCTAAATCTATCTCGAAAACAACTTCAATCACAAATATTATACCGAAGAAACGCTCAGAGTCTTCCAGCACGAATCTCGTTACAATTCCACTTTCCAAAACGATGTCCGATACTCGATTTCGCGCAAATATAAGGAACGAGAAATTAATTCCACAAAAGAAGAATGTGGGAAATGCTAGTTTTACACTTAACGTAAATGAGAAACACGTTAAAAAGGAAATTGCATCGAAAACAATTATAAAACGAGAACCTAAAAATCTTTCCAAGTGTGACGAATTATCTGACAAACAACAAAACAAGAATAAATCGGAAAAGTATCTTAATAAAATCGATAATACTAGCAATGCAAAATCAATAACATTATCACAAGAAAGCAAACTAAAATCCAGTACTTCTAAAATATCCTCTTCTAAAAACACTGTAGGAAATGCCAAATCTTCTTTAGATTTAACGCAGAATTCTCCCAACAAAATTCGATCGAAAATAAAGACAAAGCCTAAGAAGAAGATAACCGCGACCAGATCTGAAATATTCAACACCGATGCAGCTTTGCCGAAGAATTCTTTCGAAAATGATAATTTCGACTTAGCTGATCTAATCGAAGCAAGCTTGAAAAATATCCGAAGTCCACGAAGTATATTTGATTATGATTTTAGTTGCATACAGCAACCGGATGCAACAAAAAAAGACATTTTAAAGATTAGAAACGAAATTCAGAGCGTCAATAAGTTGAACCAACTAAACCCCTCCCGAAACACGAATAACTTTTCTAACAAAATGATACGAGGAGGCGAATTTCTCGAGAAGCTTTCAGAAAGATCTGAATCCTTTAGTGAAATATCCAACGAATCTCTTATAAATGATATAAAATTTGTACCGGATGGAGACAATAAATCGATATTATTAGCTGAAAAATACAGGAAAGCTCGGGAAGACCTCCAACAATCCTTAGATTGGAAACGAAATATGTCAGTACCTTCTGAAGATCGATGGGAACCATATTCTGAGGTAAATTTCCGGAATAAATCCCTTAATCCTAAAAATGTTGACAATAATGGAGAGAAGTATCTTATTTCTCGAAGACCAAGAAATTCCTCTCTTTTAAAAGCTTACACTTCGAGCAGCTTGGAGAGTAAAAAGAATGTTGGCACACATAGTTTTAAAAATGTCAAATAAAACTCACAGAAATCTGAAAAAAAACATTAAGAAAAATCACAATTTAAGAATAACTTGGTAAAAATCTTTTTCATAGATAAACATAATTTTCAAAATTTAGAAAATTCTTGCATCTTATGTGAACCAATAACGTTTAAAAATATTTTAGAACTATTAATGAAAGTGAACGCTATTTACAAATGCATAAAATAATATTTTTGAATTATTATAAAAAATGACAAATAAATTGATAAATTCTAAAACTTCTCTGCAGAGTTTGGATTAACTAAATTTATTTACATTTCCATAAAAATATAAGTAAAATTAATCTTAATAATCTTTCTATTAATTATTTTTTTAAACTTTATATATTTTTATTTACATATAATTATATGTTTATATTTATAAATTTTATTTATATCAATTATATATTTTTATTTATGATATAAATAAGAAAGGGGATTTTTTTCATTAGTATATTAATTAAAAATTCTGATGTGATAACGAAATTTATTTAGCTTTAATATTTTATATTTTCAAATATATCGCAGGTAGAGACATATATAAAATAAAATAGAGCATTGATTTTTTACATTTGATGATATGTGTTTAGATAGAAGCTTTTCTTTTCAAATTATTTACAATGCATGATGTATGATAACAAGGCATTGGAATGCGCAAACTATTGATTACAATTAGCTCGCTAGAGGAACAAGTATTGGAATTTTTGTTTAATAATGGAAAAGAAGCACTTGCCTTTTACATTTTTGTAAATTCCACTTATAAAATACTCTATAATTCAGTCATACATTGTTAAATTAATGCAAAGCTATGCACGTAACGCATAAAAATCTATGTTTATTGTGTTTACTGTGTTTACTGTGGTTACTGTCTAGGAAAGAAGTAATGAAGATACGAAGTAGCACCTGTCTATAATTTATGATTTTGTAATTAACTGTATTCTGTAGCCACTAATTTTTGGATGTAAAAACAGAAAATTTTTAACTACAAAAATGCTGCAGATCTTAATTTTCCAGTAAAATTATAATAAATCTTCGATACATCAAAACTGCTTTATTAATTATATTGTGATTACGTAGAGCGGAGTAAAAGAAGCTACATAGATAAATAATCGTTTAATACGAATTATGAAAAAGTTATTTAAGAAAATGTGTATACATGTTTTTTGTTCCAAAGTCGCATAAAATGAGTTTTGATATATCGAGAATTATCTATATCGAATTATGAATTACTTTCTACTGAGGAAAACATTTTTTTCTTTCACTTTGTTGCCCATTGTAATAAATTACACTCGATAAACTACACTTTGCGATTAAACTGCCAATAATGCAGTTCCATTTTCAAATCTTATTGTCATTTCTGTCCTTAAATTTATTTCACCGCTCCGCGAAAATTTTAATATTTTATTTCAAAATTTATAAATATTCCAAAACAAATTTTTCTCTCAGATTCTCCTAATTTCTGTTATAGAATTAATTTCCAAATGCGAGAATTTATGGAACTTTACATTCGATACGTAAGAGAGCTGTTGTAGTAAGATTTAATATATACTTTTCATAATTTAAGGCGCGCGAATCTGTGCAAGGTTTGAATCTCAAAAATTGGCGTGTCACATGCGGCGTAAGATTCAACAATGTTGATTTTCATCAACAATATTAACAAGATTTCGTTCATAATTGACTTCGCCGCTTTCTCGATCTTACGAAGACGATTCGATTTTCTTGAAAATATTTTCAAAAAGGAATATTTCATTACTTCTTAAAATTATTTTCGAAATTGATCTTATTTACACTCGAATTAAACTACCGCCATGGCTCGGTCTCATCAAACATTCGATCGATGTTATCTCGCAGCATCTTCTCTTGTTCTGCAAAGTTAAATAATATTTGCATTATTTCTAAAAATTCAAAAAGGCATCACATCATGAATAATTACCTTTGGTTAAATTCGCAATGATGCATTGTTTTCGGAGAAACTCCATGCATAAAGCTCGTGACAGACCGAAAGCGTGCATGTTGCAAGTAAAAGTCCTGTTGGATGGAAAGGGTGAATAAAATAATCCGACGTCATAAATTCAACATAAATTAAATATTAATAGGGTTACCCTAACTGTCCGAAGACAATGTTCGCTTGAAACTTTCGATCTTCGGCGGCGATGCTTTCCTGATCTAAGGATTTTGGTCGAGGTGGTACTGGTCTTGATGCTCGTTCACATTGAACCGCATCGAAAAAAGCAGCCGTCCAAAATCTCATGGACGTCCATATTGGTTGAACGCGTAAATGCGTGTACAAATATTCGCGGTAAGGCTCTAACCCAGGAACTTCAACTAAAAAATAAATACGTTGAACAAAATATAACAAATTATGATCAGTCAAACAAATGCATGCAATAATAATTTTGGCAATTTAATAATAATAACACTTTAATATTTATAGCAATTTAGCATAAGAAATTTTATAATTTGCTTTTTATGCTTTTTGATTTAATATACCAAGGAATAAAAATAATTCAAATATTAATTATTATGGGTTATCAAAATAATTATGTCAAACCCGTATAATAATTAATATAGATAAAGAAATATATAATATAATTATATTATCTATTTTATATATGTATAATCATATAATTTCTATATCATGATATTATTATTTTATTCTAAAAAATTATTATTTTAACTGCTTTGTAAAATTTTAATTTCAATATTATTTACAACCCTATTTTGTAGAAAGCTTCTCTCTTTTAATTACCTTCGTGATAAAAAGTGAAGCACATGTTCATGAGACTTTTTGCGGGTGCAAAATCGTCCGCCTCGTGACATTCAAATAAGGCGACTGCGAAATGTTGTGCCAAGGAGTAAAATGAAGCTTCCGTAACACACGCCCGTGCTCTTCTCGCGTTCACCACTCTAGAGAACCATATTCTTCCTGATTCGGTCTACAAATTTATTATTGCATTCAATCGAGCGTTTTGAAAAGATTATAAATATTATCGTCCTATTAATTTTATCAGTATCCTGAATTTATATTATCTTTATATTATCTTACTAGAGTTGTATTTCTTCCCTAATTTAAATCAAATATTTCTTACACTTTAATATATCTTATTCAATATTGTTATTGAAATATTATATTAATATATCTTATTCAATATTGTTATTGAAATATTATATAAAATTTATTTGACACATACCAAGACCATTTGTCCAAAATTAGCCTTTTGCTCTTGATCGATACTATTAGGAGCATCGAATAGTAGAGGTACGAAAGCCTTCATGAAGTCCGCGGCTGCTTCCTCCGATTGGCTATCAGCTGATAAGCTCGAAGCCCAGGACTGAACAGAACCTGATGATCCTGAGGAGGGATAATTTTATTAATTACAATACCCTTTGTCACGCTATTTCTAATTTACACTAGTTATTTAGATAATTAAAATTATTTTTCAAGCTCGAAAATATTTTTAAATTACAATAGCCCGGAAATTAATATTAAAAATTAAATTACCTGATCTCTGCCACATTCTGCGACCATCCATGTTGGAATCTAAGCTAGTGCTGGGTCCATATCCATCTTGATCGCTCGTAGAATCACTGCTACAAGGTACGTCTAAAATAAAGAAATGTTTTCTGTTAAATATTCCATATAATTTACAAAACAACTGTAACTCAACACATCAAGCAATAGTGCGTTACGCTCAAAAAGGCGACAAACTTGCAACCCGATCTAATCTAATGTCTCACCGGACAGAGAAATAAACGACACAATGATAAGTTGATTAGCCTACAAAGTGTTAGTTACTCTTGCGTAATTATACAGACGATTAATCTATCAGTTATTAAATTAAATGCTAAATTATTCTTGAGCCAAGAGAAAATCGCATAAACCCGAAATAAAATAAATAAACATACATGTATATACATGTGCGGTAAATAATATGTTTGTTTGAACAATATATTGTTTTTTCATATTTATTAAAATTATAAACAAATAAAATGCATTCATTTAATTGTGTTTTTCATTTCTATCAGTAGGGGAAACCGGGGACAAAAGTAACAACATCATGAAAATAACAAGCCTCGTAATAAACTACGCAATATGTTGAATAATTTGTACTATATAGTCAAAACGCGTATGCCCCGATTCTCTTCCTTTTCAACTAATTATTGTAGAACGATCGTGCCGGTTGCACATGCAGGAATGAAATTAGTGTATTTGCATTATTCACCTAAGTATTTCTTATTTTAATCTTTTTGTATCTATGCCTAATTAAAGTGTATGTATTGACGTAATTATTTGCTGATGTATTCTCCTAAAATGTATTTATAAGTTTTTATAGTTGATTTAGCTAAGTCTTGTATCATATTTAGGTTATAATGCTTTTTTATTCTAAAAAATATGTTTGGGGACAAAAGTAACACGACACTTTGTGGACGAAAGTAACATGTTTCAATGCTTAAAGTATAAGGGTCCCATAATAACTGTATCAAAGACGATTCTTATTACGTATGCCATAATTGTAATTCAGAATAGATACCAATCTCTTTTGTATAAGTAGTTATCATACAATTTTTACACTATTATTTAGAATTAAACTATTATTTAGACTTAAAAAAGTACAAAACTGGTGTGATATTGAGTATAATTATTTTATAATATTACTTATAATTATTTTGCTTAACGAAGATTATTTCTTTTAAGTTTTTCAAAGATGATAAAAATAAATGTTTATTTTAATATAATATAGAACAAAAAAATTTATAATAAAGTTATCTTGCTTAATAAAATCTTATAATAAAAGTTGCCTTAAATTGAAAAAAGCCATATTTATTTTATTTTCTCGAAAATAAGAACTGACACTTTTATCCCTAGACTATGCTTCTTTCGTCCCAGGCCCCCAAAACAAAAGTAACAATCAACGTACTTGCGAAAAGCTATAATAACTCTTTAAATATTTATCATTTGAGATTGAAACATAGGTACAATAATAGAGCAAGACTTTTATCGCCGGTCTCCCCTATAATGCAAGAATATAAATGTTATACAATTGAAAAATACTTTATACCAGAATTATATTTAAGATTATTTGCTTGAGATTACAGTTTATGTTCAACTATGAATCTTAAAAAGCTTTTAGAATTTTTACAGTTTATGTTCAACTATGAATCTTAAAAAGCTCTTATAATTTTTATAGATATCAATTTCGCGAACGTTTGACACAATTTAAGTGAGACGGCAAAGTGCTTTTATGAGTACCTCGTTATTATATATAATTACAATGACCACGCGATATTACTTAATTATTTTCTATCTACTTGCACGTCCTTGTGATAGAGCGAGGCGAAAATAATAGAAGAGTCCTACTTCTAGCTGACGATAAATATATGTTTGTCTATCACAAGAAACTACTCTATAATATATCACGCAGTAGGATTTATTTTTCATTCATGTAGAATAGAGTCCCTTGTCGCATAAAAATGCATATGGATGCAATCGGGGTGCATAAGTGGGTCACGTGAAGATACGCACACATATACACAGGTAACAACATTTTTATTAATAGGATGCAACGTCTGGCAAGAAACTACGAGTGTTTTCATGTGTTCGAATATACAAAAGCCGAGACGTAACGTAAATTCTAGAGAAAAATGCTTTTTTTACTTTTAAAAATATTTAAAAAGATGAAGAAGTTTAATTAATTCATTATTATAATTAAATAAATTAAACAAATTAAAACGTTATGATCGATATATCTTCAATTTAATGTAATGTGACATATAATGATATAAATGAAAAAATTGAAAAATTAAAATAAATATAAATTAGTTATTTTCTTTGATATAAATTATTTTCTTTCTGTCTTCCTTTTTTCTCGATTTCTCAACGCATTCTTCTCAAAATTAAAATATCTGTATATTAATTGAAATAAATGCATGCTTATTATATTAATTGTTTGTAAAGAAAATGTCAATATTACAAGATCAAGCTTTGTAAGTTTCTGGTAATTTTATCTATGCTTCTTATAATTTAAATGGCTTTAGAGGAGCTAAAGCACATTAATTTCCAGTTTACTTAAATAAGACTCATGATATATTAAATTACAAACATTGATGTTTCTAGGTCAAATCGTTGGAGGTCTTATCAGAATCGACCCATGGATATTCGAACACCAGGTTACGCGGACATATTGATTGCACTAGTATTCACTAATCACATCTAGCGGAGGGAATCTGGATCGGAAACTCGGACACGTGAAAAAGAATGCTTACGATAACACCAAAGTATCGAGATTTTATTTGGATTATACAGGATGTTCCATTTTGCTATCGAAATATCTCATAAAATCTAAAAGATGCGAAAAAATATTTCAGACAAAAGTTGTATAGTTTCGAGGGGGACATAAAATGGTTCCATTAGTTTGACCTTGAAGAGTTACCTAAAGATCATGTGAAGATTACCTTCAACTTTTTAAATGGGACACTCTATATGCTTTTGCACATTCTTGTAACTCATCTCGAGAGCTTTCCAGAACACTATAATTAAGTTAGTCTTGCTAGAAAGTACATACGTCCTTGACGTGACTCTTCAAGATCAAACTAATGGCACCATCTTATGTCCCCCTCGAAATCATATAACTTTTGTCTGAAACATTTTTTAGTATTTTTTAGACTTTACGAGATATTTCGATGGCAAAGTTAAAATGGAACACCCTGTATACATATCTCTCTCTCTCTCTCAAATGTTAATGAAAAACTAATTTTATGTTGTTTTAGAGTTATATATATATCAATTTTTAGAAGAGAAATATTAAGTTGGAATTAAATGTCACATTGATATTTTATCATTATTAGAAACTAATTTTTTGTGGAGTAGGCCTTTCAAAATATTAAGAAAAAAATATCATATATATTTTTGTAAAACGCATTAATTATTTACATTGATCTTATAATCTTTTATAACATGAACAACGAATACTTCAGCTATGATGAATCAAGACTAAATTAGTTTTCAAGAGGATATGAAGTAATATCGATTAATACTTGGCGTATATGGCCCGAATATCGATACTTTAAACTGAAGCATCCCTAGGTGCGGTACAGGAGACTCGCGGGTGAGATCAAAGGGACAGTCCACACTGACTGACTGTTACATTTACCTAAACGGAAAACGACCGTCTGATAGCGGGTCGGCGCCCTCGCTTTGTAAAAAGAAAAAAGAATACAGCACATTATTTCCGAGTCTCGATAATTGCATATTCGCGAAAATCGCGAGCGAGAGAAAGTTAGCGACCATCGAAGACGACGAGAGTCGTTGACTCCGACTCGTTCGACGTCGGCCGCAGATAATTAGAGGCGAGGACTAATCACCTGCTCTGTAATTCAACTTGTCGTAAGGATCGGGCCCGGTCGCTTTGATATCCTTCTCTTGAAGAGGCTCTATACTTTCTTGGCTGTCCCGATCGGGACTGACATCCTCCTGCTCCGTTCGGTTCTCTTGCTTTTTGCTCGAGACCGATCTCGAGGATGCTATCTCCTCGTACGTCATCCCGGGCGGGTACTTTCGTGCTCTAGAAAGATTGGTGCTTGTTTGTCGCTCCAATTTGTGTCGCGCTATCGCCTCATAATCCTCGTAAGATAATCCCGCACCGAATCTAGGAAAATGAAGAAAAAATTGCGTATCAGAACACGAATTATTCATGAGAAACAAATATTACGATATTATCTTCTCTCTTTCTGCACAGAAAAAAAGGACATTCTTGTTTTAAAAACATATTTGGTTTTAACATGGAAATCTTGAAATGAGTTCAATCAAGAAAAATATATTCTTATGATTTAAGATTTAATTTTCTTGAATGGAAAAGAAACAATGTTAGATTAGAAAGTAACATGTTAGAAAGTAACATTTTTAAATCAAAGATTATAGGTTTCTTAAAGTAGAATTAAATAATTATATATTCTTGAGGTGACAGTTACAATATTAAAATAAGACTATAATATTGTTAAAATTTAAAATTATTAAATTCTTCTAAGAAGATTATAAATTGTTGCGTATATACGAAACAATGAACGCGTTAGTTTAAGTATATAAGTTTTGATTTGACACTTGTTTTTTTCTGTGTCTCTCTCTCTCTCTCTCTCCCTCTCTCTGTCCTTTTGTCTCTCCCTCCCCAAATATGTCTATTAATTTATATTTTTCTTACAATTTTATTTTTTTAGAGTATTGAAGAAATTTTTTTGTATTTCTTGTAACTTTTATGTGAAGTTTTATGTGAAGTGCATATTTCAGATTGTTCTGAAATTTTACTTACTAATATATTTCAACACGCTGATTATGAACATAACAATGAAAATTAATAACAAAATCATCTTTAAGATCAAAATCTTTAAGAAAAAATAAGTTTTTATTATTTTAATAAATATTGATTTCAGTAGGAAAAGTTTCAAATAAAAATTATACCTCTCTTAAAAACGTAATTTTTATATTGTACACATTATTACGTGAAAACAGTATTTTACGAAAAAAACGAAATTTAATATTTCTTTTTATTTTAATAAAATCGTAGAAATAAAACCGTAAGAAACATTTTTGAAATAAAACCGTAAGAGACATTTTTGAAATTTATTGCCATAAGTCTATCTTTATAGATACTTAGAATTATTATTATGATACAGAAGAGGCACGCGCGGAAATGTTCTCTTTCGATTGTGATGAGCTTTTAATATGTTATTTTCTAAACAAAAATAAGGGACATATAAGTTAATAGACATATTCAAAATATCAATAAATACTTACAATAGCAACGATTAATAATATATTATTAAACGATGTCACATATTAAGCTAACGCTTACAAAACAACAACCTTTTATATTATTACTCCAACAGATTGCTTCAGATATATTTATATTTTATTTTTGTGTCTTGCATATAATATTTATTATATATTCAAACGTTGTGTGTTTAAGGTTATAAAATGTCTAGCATGATAAAAACTTCCGATAACGATACATAGAATGTCTTTTAAATATATCTCTGTTAGTTATCTTCTATTACAGAAAAACAGGATGCGTTGCGCGAAGAATTGAGCGCAAGGACGCACACGAATAACATATTTACAGAGAGGTTCTTCATTAATTCTGGAAAATAATTTTTCGAAACATAACTTAAAATCCTATATGATTGAGTTCGTAAAAAAATAACCTTTATTTGGTGATAAAAAAATTTTTAAATTAAAGAAAAATGTTTAGTGGTCGCGGTATTTTGAAAAATTAAAAAAATAAAAAAATTTTTTTGTCATTGTTATAAAGTACTCTTAAAACTTTTAATTGGAAAATTTTTTTCCATTTCTTATAGTTTCGGATATATTCGTTTCAAAAGAAAAAAATCAATTTTTTTCAAAGCGGTGTTTTATCCCCTAGATATGCGTATGGGCACGTATAAATAAATACGTGTCCCTTATTTTTGTTTCGAAAACAACATATTAAAAGCTCATCGAAATCGAAGGGGAACACTTCCGCGCGTGCCTCTCCTGTACCATAACAATATTTCTAGGTATCTATAAAGATAGACTTATGGCAATAAATCAGAAAAAATATATAAGGGAAATTTACACGCGTTTTACTAACTTAAGAATTCATTTTAATTGCAAAACAAGAAACGCTAGTTTAATCAATTAAAATTCTATTAAGTTACTTCTTACTTTATAGAATAATCAATTTCGGAGTTTCAATGATGCATGCTTAATGTCTACGCTCTTATACTAATTGTTGTAAATTCAGAATAATAAAACGCGTTGTTTATACCTTGGAAGCCTCAATTTTCGCCGTCCTAATTGCTCCTCTGACTTGACAGTCTGCGGTAAAGCTTGCGGCGATGACGGTGGCGAAGAAGGGGTTGTAGTCAATTCACTCTCCTCTAAACTGCTACTAAGAGCGGATCCTATTCTATTCCCTAGGCCTTGTAAATACTCCCCGCTTCCTCCCAGAGCGGATCGCACGGACCTGAGAGCACCTCTTGTACGTCCAATTAACGAACCTCCTCCATTGGATGGTAAAGCTGTTGTAACATCTACCATGTTCTGAAACAACATCACAATACGTGTTATTAATCTTTGAGCTCTGTCGAAGAATTCCTCGAGAATTATTTAGCAATGCTATAGCAAACTTTTATATCTACATTATATCTAATATTTTGTTTGTTTAATCATCAATCATCAGGTATCTCAAAATATAAATGTGAGTAAAATTAAAAATTAAAAAGTAAATTATTAGATATATATAACAGATGATTTTAAGATTAATAATGTACTGCGTATTTCTAAGCACAAATATTTATCATATATTTGCAATTAAAGAAACAAATGTGTCGTGTCGCAAATAGATTAAGCCTGAAATAATACGGAATATATTGCTAAATTAATATAAAGTCTCTGATTCAATTTTTGTTTTTTCAGCTTTTATGCAAAATAAAATATTATTGAAAGCCTTGTTATTGTGAAAAAGTAAAGAGAAAATAAAAAACTACTGCTACGTAAAAATAACTTCAATACATACGAATTGAATAAATAGAAATTATACTTGACAAATTTATAATGTGTACAAACGTAATTCCTTTATATCATAAAAAAATAGAATAAAATAAATTTTAAAATAAAAAATATCATATTCTGTGAAAAAATTTTTAAAACATATATAAGATAATAAAAATATTAATTAAAATTATTAATTAAAATTATTGTTATTAAAAATATAACATTTGAAACTATTGTTATTCTTACGTAATGTTGTCTAATCGCCAAATCGAAATTAAAAATAACAACGTATCGAATTTACTTCATACATAAAATTTTAACAAGAGAAGTTGTAACAATCTAAGTATATTCAACTACTGACCAGAAAAAAATTTCTAATTTGCTATAACAGTTTATATCGAAAGCTGATTGTGCATTTCGACATTTTTATAAAGCAATTTACGAAACGCGACTTATCGACTATATAGTCTCTGTAAAACGAGGAGGGCTAAAAGTAATCTCAGATAACAGGTATATAAGCTTCATTTCCAATGTATATAGGCCATTTACTCATTTATGCATACGCACACTATGCGTAAAGTGATAACGGATGATTGTGATAAAAAGAAAGAAATAAAAAAAGAGAAAAATATCGATTGAAAATAATATTAACATTTTGAGATTGCTTTTACAATTATTTAAAAGTTTGTACAATTTTGAATCGTAATAAAAAAATATTTTGTGCAAAAAAAAAAGGAAAAAAACTACGAACGGAAAAAAGAATAAATTACAATTTATTGCGTGTGACACAAATAATTAATTTTAATGATATAATATTTCTGTGTTGATATGTATATGTATTGTATGAATGTATCTATTGTTTTTCAAAATTTTATTCAATCTCCATATGAAATGATTAATAAAGTTTTAAATTTTATCTCCAGCTGTCATTTTAACTTTTTATGCTAACATAGTTGACATAAAAACAAAATTTGAATATATTTGTAAAGTAATTAATAATAATCTATATGATTATTTTTATGTTAATTATATTAGCGTAAAAAATTAAAATGACAGTAACGATGATTAATCGACAGAATCTTAGATCTTCATTAATAATGCCATTTCTCAGAAAATTGAGCAAAATCATCGCGTGTTTTAAAAGAATTCATTAACCAAGATACAAAAGTTATATCATTCATCAATAATAATAAAACCATCTAAATGCATAATAATCTCAATAAACATCTAAATGCATTTTGCGCTCGTCCGTCCAATTATACTACATTGCATACGACCTTTCGCATTCACATTTTATACCGAAAAGAAAAATGCGTGACATATCACTCGAAGAAAGGGCATGCCATTTTTCACATTTTTTGACGCAGAGCTTTAAAACGTTTTAGTTAATGTCGTACTATTAAAACAAGCAAAATATCATTAGTAAATAAATAAATATAATGACATCTTAAATTCTATATAATAAATATAACAATTTCTATTTAATGCTGCATATATTGATCTAACTATTCAATACAAAGAAGAGTAAAGAAAAGAAAAATCAATAAAAGAATATAAAATAAATTCACAAAAATCGGGCTTGATATCGAAACAATTGTCCATTGTCGATTGGACATGTTGTACTGAACAGACTTTTATAATTGGCCTGCTATACATTGGTGACCGCAAGAGATATAAAATCCCAACGGATATCCTATGAATTCTTATTAACCACAGCTTATGAGTTTTTGATAAAATCCAATTTTACTTTGTTCTGGATACTTATATTTATAGGGATTTTATTTTTACATGACACTATATGATTTAATTTATTATTATTATAATACATTCAATCACCTAATGTATTATTATTATGTTATATAATAAATTATAATTTATTTTTTTTTGCATTCATAGTTTTCTTTCATTTTTTTTTAAAAAATATTTTTTTGTATTACGATTCAAAATAGTACAAACTTTCAAATAATTGTAAAAGCGAACTCAAAATGTTAATATAATTTTCAAAACAATATGTATAAACAATGCAAAATAATGTTAAGAATATCTATATATCTTTGAAAATCAATTTTTAGTTAATAAAATTAAATAAAGATTTAATTATATAAGTATTACCTAAATAATTTTTATACATTAAGCTTGTAGAATACAAATATATTTGATTATGATAAATAATTCATTTTAAATACATCAAAATATATCTAACATTAAAATTAAACAATTGTAATAAATTCTAAACTTATAAATAAATTGTAAAAGATTTGCTTTTAAAAATTAAAAAATATTATATGACTGCTAAAAATAAATTTTATAAAACACAATCTACAAAAATTTATTATATCAAATTTTTTGAATTTGATATAATATAATATGATATAATTTTGATATTTTCTCCAGAATTAAATTTAAAGAATATTTATTATTAATCAATATTTTCTCAAATTTCGATTGATGGATTATCGAAAATATTCTATAAAATTTTTCAATAACTGATTGATTTATGACACAGTTATTTTAGAATCAAATAAAAATTTAATTTAATAACATATAGTTTTTAATAAATATAATTAAAAATAAAGAGAAGTAAAGAACTGCCGGATGTTATCGTGTGAAAGCCTAAACAAAGCTTCCTACATGGTGTCTAAAGATAGATCATCGATTATGTTCACATGTCTATGGCAATTCGACGCCGCAAGAATTTCCGATTAATGTGGGTGATGCGAGGGTAGCAGCACGTAATATCAAATGGAAAGAAGTGGGAAGAAAAAGAGAAAGAGAAATCATGTCAAGGATATATTCAAATATTTAAATATAATCATCATCTTAATTTTGTTTCCCCGGAAAAGTTTATTTAATCAATTATCGCATCTTTAAATAAATTTAATAAATAGAAATGTAACATTTAACATTTGCATGCAAAAATAATATCGCATTGTATAAGAATATATAATAATCTTTGATATTCTAATAAATTTGAATTAAATTGTTTTCTCGTTTCTAAAAAAAATTTTCCGTATCATTTTTGTCAAAAAATTTAAAAGAAATAAATGTATTTATTATACATGTATATTAATTATTGTTAATTATGCATGTTTTTTAAATGGAACTGTTAATACAAACTAATAAAAAATTTAAAAAAGAAAAAAAATTTTTTAAAGAATTTCTTTTTAATTAAAAATTTATTTGTCAATACAAACTAATGTATGATAGTTTTAATATAAAATATTTATTAAAAGTTTATAGCACAAGCTATTAAAAATTTATTTTAATACTATGAATTAAATGCTTGCTTGAAAGCACCAATTCTCTTTAAGATAAGATACATTATTAAAATAATTAAATAAGTAATATCAAATGAACAATGATTCAAAATGTTAAACTATAAAAAAAATCATAAAAAACTAATATATTAATTTAATTCTTCTAACTGATTTCTTATCCTATAGAGATGTAATAAAGTTCTAGTCTAAAATAACAAGGAATAATCACATTTAACACAAGGAATATATCACATTTATACTGGAGATAACATATACCGACATATATGTACATAAAACATATCTTTAATATAAAAGATAAAAGAATGTTATAGGATGTAAGATTAAATACGTTAATATTACATACTAATATAAAATTTTGTAATTTTTTTACATAAAATTTATATGATATCAGGAAAATGTACGAATATTGCAAGGTTCAACGATCGGCAAGCAATCCAACAGATAGCAACAAATATAAAAAAATGCGATACATCGAAGCGGATTATGCGGGAATGAATGATGTCGGGGCATGTGGGCGATTGTACTTCACAGTGACACACAACTGCAATGCAGCGTTATCTATATTATGCAGTTCCGCGCTATGTTAGATGTGCTTATTTGCGTGCGGACATTTGCGGTATAACAACGAGAGGGAAAGAAAGAAAGGGGTCTCTTTGGGTTTATATGTGTGTCACGCGATGATAAACACGAAAGATACGCATCATAAATGCAAGTGCCATCTGTCATTTAGCAATTTTGCGAAATGCGTTGAGGCAAATGCATCGAATTAAAGAAAAAGCAGTGTGACATAACTGTGCTCGTCATAATAAACAATGGCTTTATCTGTTGTCTGGCGCCTTATTATCGCAGCGCGAAACATGATTTAATGTGTATTACGTATGCAAAATAAACATCGCACAAGTGTCAAACGGGAAGTGCAACTAAAGTTGCTGATAATAAATATTGCGATAGTAAATTTGCAAGTTGGGTTTGTAAAAAGACGGAAACTTTGCTCTATTGTTTTAAAATATTTCAAATATTATTTTACACATAACATCTTTATTCTCAACTTTCGAAAATTATTCTCCAATATTTTGTGCACTGATATATTATATTATATACTTGCATCGCTCTTTAAAAGTGCAAAAACAAATTTCTCTCTAATACTTATCAATAAATAAAATGCTTAAAAAAAAAAAAAAAAAAAATATATATATATATATATATATATATATATATAAATTATATATATATATATATATATATATATATATATATATATAATTTAATACTTTTTTGTTTAGAAAATATTGCTATTTTATTCGACAAGTTTTTACGTTGATAAATATTTTTGTATTAATAATTATTGTTTAATGATCTATATATTAAAATTAAATTGAATTCCTGCGAATGTTTATATTTAAGATAGCTTTCACACAATTATAATGTTTTGCGAATAATGTAATCAGAAGTTTTGCTTATCAATTATTGTTACGCTGCTATAACAATCAACTAAGTATCAAACAAATTAAAAAATTGGACACAAATGTGCAACTGTGACATAAATGTTCTTATCAAAAATATGTAACTTTCATCATGTTTCGCACGTTATCGATTTTATTATCAATGAAAAGCAATTTAATGCATACATATGTGATTTATCATGCGATTTCAACATATGTTAAAACATAGATTTACAATATTTTTTAATTTATTATCTAATAATATCAATTTAAAATAATAATAATTAAACAATAAAAGAACATCAAGAAATTGTAATAAATTATTATTAAATCATTTTTTATGCAATAAAGTTTAAAAACATGTAGGGCAAAAATTTTAAACATATTTATTTACTTCAAAATACACATATTTATTTATTCAAAAAAATTATTTAAAAAAAAGATTTCTAAATAAGCGAGCCTAATTTTCAATAAATAAATACCTTGATAATAAAGTCTCAAATTTACACAAATTATTTTTCCAAAAATAATTAAAAACAAGATAATATTCAATAAAGAACGCTGGAAAACAGTCAATATTGCAAGTTGTTTAAAAGGCATAAAAGTGCAGCTGTGAAAACAGACGATATTCTCTCGTTATCGCTCTTTAACATTCTCTATATATTGTTCTCTAATATTTTCTATTTTATTTAAGAAATAAAATAGAAAATGACAGATTCTCAATATGTAAATATTTTTCTCAAAGATTATTGTTATAAATAATACAATAATAAATAGATGGAAAAATTTTGTAAATTTATAGCTATCGAAACATATTTTTTCTTACGAATTAATAAATTGAGCTTTGATGTATTCTTTAATGAATAATTTGAATACCATGCAGGGATGAAGCCCCAAGACCACAAACGATCACTATCGCCCTTGCAAAACGTGAAACACGTGAACATGTGCGACACTGTTCTTGACATACTACTTTAGACTTGCACTATCGCAAGCTTTGCAGCTGCTTCGAGGACTATTCGCACGTAACGTTACATTACCCCTCCAGTACGCGATCGGATTAATAAACGCGCATGCGTTTATCGCGATCAATACAAGGCCTCGATTTACCAGCACGTTAATTAATTCCACTAGTGAAATTTGCTCGCATACATACTAGCAGTCGGTATCAAATCAGTTGGCAATGAACTATCCGAAACATGGATTCATATAGTTTGATGAATGTATAATCGCCAGATAAATGAAACGCGTATTGAAAAGTTTTTAGGAAAATAAATTATATAAGATTATTTTTTTTTGCTCTTCAATCATAAAAATGATAATGTTAATTTTGACCCGCAAAACAATAATATAATATTTTTATTAGAATGATTTTGAAATATTTTGTACCTAATCCAATTATTTAATTAAAAATGTTAATATATAACATATACAATATATTTAAAATATATTAACAATTATTAAAATATATCAACAAATAAAATAAAATATTAATGTAATTAAATGCGTATAATGTGTGTAATGTATAATTTCAATTTTCTGAAGAAATAATGCAACAAAATTTAATAATATATAAATTGAAAATTATAATACATAGAAAATTAAAATTATAAGTGTTTAAATTATATACGTTTCAATTTTGTAAGGATACTTTTAAAAAAGTCACAATTAAATGAAGTATTTTTTTTAATTTTTTATTGCAGGAAATATTATAATTTTTAAAAGCATAGTGAAATTACGTTGTAGGAAATATTATAATTTTTAAAAGCATAGTCGACAAAGTTTCTATTTAAATACGTGCTTCGAAGGTAGCATATTCATTGAATGTTTAAAGACGTGTACACTACAGCTGCTTTCTCGGGTAAATATATATTATCTATGTTAACCCTGCAAAAGATATATAAAAATAAATTATCTGAATTTGTCAACATCACCAGACAATGCTTATAGCATAATAGTTTGCATAAAGTATATTTTTTTTGAAAAACCTAAGAGAGATTCTTTTATAAATTATATATGTATATAATTATACATTTAGCAACATATGGTTTAAATAAATATCAAACAACGGAAATCAAACAATACTTATAATTGCAATCAATTAAAAACAAAATTTGTTATCTAACACTTTTAAAAATATAAAAGCATATTTTTCAAAGAGTGAAAAGTGTTTATAATTTTTAAATTTGACTAACAAGAAACATATTTTTGTTAATAAAACTACAAGTGATGCTAAACGTTTCTAAAGAAATCATTCTCGTTGTCGAACAAAAAGTTTTACTATTACTTCATAAGATTTATAGTTATAAGTATGTGTAAAAACAATTTTAAAAAAGTACTTAAAAAGCCTTACCGTTGTTTTGGAGAAGAATGAGTTCCAAAGCAAGAAACCTGAAGTTTCAATTGTTTCGGAAGATCTTGATCTGACAAATCAACAAATTGAGGGATGTAATCGTCGAAATTAATCAGAAGTAGCACGGTGCGATCATCGCTGCTTCTGATCACACCCAGAACTGTACCATTGTTCGTCGTGAACGATGCATAGCTTCCTTGGGTAAGCGCTGGTTCCTTTCGGTGCAAATAGGCTAAGGTTTTATAGATTTTATAGTGTGATTGATAACTACGCTCCTCTGCCTGCAAGTTCAACGTCTTATAGTTTGGATTCACCGGAAGCCACGTCGAATTTGCCGTGCTAAAACCTGCCGAAACGAATAATTAATTGATTCAGATTTAGAAATACATTATTAATTAATTAAACATTATAAATCGCAAAGATTCATCTTCTACCTGCGTTCTCTTCGGCACTCCATTGGAATGGCGTTCGTTCTGGATCGCGAGATATAGCCGCATAATGATCTTTGCCCGCGATGCGAGCTAAGGGATCTTGTGTATCCGCCCAGGATATATTCCTGTCGTCCACCATACCGATTTCGTCGCCGTTATAAGTCACTGCCATGCCCGGCAAAATCATGGACAACATGGTCATTTGATCCAATCTGCCGGGAAAACGCGAGGCTACGCGTGGCCTGTCATGATTTCCCAACTGAAAAAATATTACTTTCATATTAAATTCATATTATTTAAACTTCATTTATAATTGAAAAAAATAAATTTGCTATTTTTATATAACATAATACAAAATCTGAGATTCTATTGTATTTGTCACGTTTATTTTTATGAATAAGATCCATGTAACTATTGTAGAATATGAGAATTAAGCATTTGAATAAAAATCTTTTACCAAAAATACAACATACAATACAACAACATTTTGGAAAATATTAAGCCTTTGTAACTGATTTATATATAGATTATATTCTCAATTCATCTTATATATATATATATATATAGAGAGAGAGAGAGAGAAAGAGAGAGAGAGAGAGAAAACAAAAATATGTACAACTTGGATTTTTCTTTTTCAAAAAGAAAAGTTTTTAAAAATGTATGCGATAAAAATTTATAACATTGTAAATTTAAGTAAAAATTTTTCATGATTCCAGATGTAATAAATTCTGCCGTTTTTTTAAACTATTTCTAATGGAATAAAATATTTATTTTCACAATTGTATAATGCAATGCTTACAAAATATTCAATATAAATAAAAATTATAAAGCTTTTTTTATATAAAGTAATTAAGTTAGAACAATAGAAAATCTGTTAAATTTCATCAAAAAGAAGAAATAAAATAATCTTTTTATTATGATGATTTCGTGTAAATACGCACCACCCAATTGTTGCTTTTACCATATGGTACTGAGTTTATCCAGAGGTCTATTGTGTTTTTGAAATCTGTTGCGGTTGAGCTATTAGTGACATTTGTAATAAATAGGAAATTGAAAGGCAACACATCATAGTCATAATATTCTAATGTATGTTCTAAACTGCTGTACGTCTCCATCACTAACATCTAGAGAAATTAGAAAGAGCACATTTTCTAAATCAATAAGTCGTAAGTTCAAAAACATATAGATTTGAAAGAATAATATTGCTTTATTGACCTTTTGATCTAGATTACGTTCATCAGCATATCCATCTAGGTATTTTCTCCAACTTCCAAATAGCTCGTAAGTAGGTTTTAGATCAGCAGTGTAAATAGGCTCTAAATAGGTATACTGATCCGGCGTGGAATCAGGCGCATAACTTCTAGGCTCATCTCGCAATTCTTTATCCTCAAAAATATACGGGGCAGAATCTACGCGGAATCCATCTACTCCTTTATCCAACCAGAATTTCAGTGCGTTCTATAACCGATCGAAAAAGAAACATTAAGAGTTGTAAGAATAAGCTTAAAGAGCTGTAATGTCCAAGATGCTTTATACGCTTTCTTAATATATTCTTCTGGTTAAAACTTTGTTTTTAAACATAAATTTATATTTGGAATTCAATTTACGGTTATAAATTTTCACTGAAACTTTTATATACATAAATTAAAATCTGAGAAATTTATAATCTAGATTAAATAATAAATTTTTAATTGAAGCATAAATACGATAACAATATAATAAAGAATGAATTAATATGCAAACTATTAATATTAATAAATTATAATATAATTTATTTTGTAACACATATGTGTGTAAGATCGTGTTTCAAGTAATAAGTTAAAGAATATATTAAACATTTTGAATTAATAGAAATAATAAAAATTATTATATTAGTTTTTATACTAATAATACTGACAAGATTTATTAACCTAATTTATTAAAATTATAAACACAATAATTTTTTTTATTAAAACACAAATAATATTAATGTGACTGGAACACCAGAAACAAAAATATTTTAATGAAAGTCTTCTTCCGGAAACACAATATATATAACAACATTTTAGAATAATCGAATTTTTCTTTGAAACTTACTCGCATCTCCTCTACTACCTCCGGATTTGAGTAGTTCAAATCCGGCTGTATTGTACCGAATTGATGAAGATACCATTGCTTTAATGAAGGAACATAAGTCCATGCGGGAATATTAAATAGACTGAGCCAGTTGTTAGGAGGTGTTTTGTCATCTTTATTTTTACCGTCTGCCCATATATAATATTCCTTATATTTCTCATCGCCTTGAAGAGCCTTTTGGAACCATGGGTGCTGGTCAGACGTATGGTTAGGTACGAAATCGAGGACAACCTATAGGAATGATAAAGTAACTATAAAAAAAATTAATAATTCTCTACATTTAATTATCATAATATGAACAATCAAATTATATTATATATAAAAATTATGATTGGAATAAATTAATTGATTGACATAAAATTATTTTATATTATATATAAAAAATCATGTAGGCAGACTGCCGCACTTTTAGGCCGAGTTTATGAGCTCTCATCACAAGTTTCTCAAAATCTTCTAGTGTACCAAATATTGGAGCGATTTCCGTAAAATTAGATATGTCGTATCCACCATCAGCCATAGGACTCGAAAATATGGGCGACAACCATATCGCGTTGATGCCACTATTCTTGACATACTGGAGCTTTAAAGTTATTCCTGAACATCGGAAAACAAAATTTCAAATTTTGCTCATGTTGCTATACTTGACTTATTGATTTTACCATTAATATTTATCAATAATAAACCTACACACTCGGAAATTAATTAAATATAATTAGCAATAATTATTCAATAAAATTATAACATATATATAAATGTAATAATTTTTTATTCTTCATTCTTATTTTTTTTTTTAATTCATTTATTCTTCTCTTCTTATCTTATGCGATATATATTAACAAATAACGATTGACATATTTACCATTTAGATCGCCTACGCCATCACCATTGGAATCATAGAAACTTTTCGGATAAACCTGATAGAAGACAGTGCTGTTCCACCACGACTTATTGAAAATCTCTGCAGATGAACTGCTGAGCAGCAGCAGTAACGCACATAAACTTGTTGTCAGCGACATAATTGCCGTTTGCATTTGTCGAATCTGAAAATGCTTATATATACATTCATGACTCTGAAAATCAGTTATCTTCTTATTTTTTAAAATTAATTTTCTTCGATCATGCTTAATAAATGTTGCAATATTTTTACGCTTGAGAAAAACAAATAATTGACATGCATAGAACAAATAGATTGATTACTGCTGCTGTATGACTTTTTCATAGTCATTTATCAATTATTGCGATAGATAACTAAAATTTCATGGAAAGATCGCAAAATTAATGACAATGAATCTATATAAATGACAGAATCTTTATCAATAATAACATTATTTGTACAATGAGGAATCGGAAATTACCATAATTTATGATCTGTGATGTGTCGTATAGTTTTAAATTAAATTCAAAAGTAACACAAGGATTGCATTTAAGCGCGACTTTGGAAGCTTATTTTATTATAATCATGTGTATTACCACATTTAAAATATTTCTAGGCTCATACAATCTTACAAATCTTAGATTTAGTTTACAAAATTAAAATGCATTTCTTTAAAAACTTTATTTAAAGAAAATTTGGTCGATCGTTCATTTGAAGACCTTCAGTGTCTTTCAAGCCTTTGTTTGGGAAAATTTTCAACGGTTGGCAATTGGCAATTCCTTAATTTTTGCAGGATAAAAAACATATTGAACAATTGAACATAATGAACATATTATTAATATAATGAATAATTTCGCGTTTTTACTCTCGTAATGCGAAGATATATTTTGAATTTTGTACGGAATTCGTGATCCGCATTACAATGATAGGCAGTATAAAAGTATATAGCGTAATATTGTGCCTAAACATGCGACAGGTATCTTCGTAGAAGTTCTGGAATTTGAGATATGTATGTTTATATGAATTTAGCCTGCTTTTTCCAATGCTCTTTTATATAGCATTTATTTTTATTAAATTGTATTGTGTACATTATACATATATACTACATATATATTAACATTATACATATATATTAAATATTATACATATATATTAACATTATACATATATATATTATACATATATATTAACATTATACATATATATTAAAAGCGAACGAACGAATCAAAAACATTTAATTAAGGCAGCTAGATCGTATATCGCTATCTGTAATACGATTTTTCTAAACAGTTCTTCTCTGTTAAAAATCCTCGTAGGACTCGCGTAGTCGCGAAATATGATTGTTCTTGTCGCAGCTAATATCAGAAACATGTACACGAGAATATGAATATAAAGAATATGAATATAAACGAACATATATTAGTGAATTTTTAAGATTGATTTTATCGAATAAACAGATATTTAAATATAAAAATATTTTTTATATATTAAAGAAAGTCGTTTTTGTTAGACTTATTTAAAATGAAAAGTTACTAAAGAATTATATCATTTTATTTATATTTTTAGAATTTTTGATAGGTGTCAATATGCTTTTATTTCTTCATATTGTATTACTTATATCTCTATATTTATCTTATTTTAATACTTTGTTCCAATTAAAAAATTTTCCTGTTTTTTTTTTTTTATTTTTCTTACACATAATTTTTTTATAATACATCATTTATTATATGTTTTAATAATTTGGACATAAAAAAGGAAGATAAAAGGCGGTAGAGAGCATAAATTTAATCGTATAATAATCGTATAAATTAGTTTAATAAGATAATATAGACCGATAAAGAAAAGCAAATTAAGTACAATTTGAGTAATTACAAATAAAAATAATATAAATAAATATAATAGCGAACGTTTCTGGCTCTTGCTTCGAGCCTTCTTCAGCGCAATAACAAATAAGATATAAATAATGGTACGGTGAGGACATAATAGAACTAATATAAAAATAAATGATAATGAATATTATAAAAAACATGAATCAAAAACGCAATGCCGCAAAGACAGTAATCGCTTGTCGAAAAAATAATAAATCTCCATGACGTGAGATACAGGAACCTTATTATGCAAGTACAATAGATGCTGAACGAAAACTCGACAGCAGTACCAAATGCAGCCTAAAATTTGGCACTATTAGATTGAATCATTAATATGATATAAGAAATTATCAAAAAATACTCACGAAGAAATCGCTCAGCAGTAATATTAAGGGTCGGAAGACAATAAGGTTCGACATAAAGATCGGTTACTGTGTAAAAGTGCCAGCGAGATGGCTCGTATATATACCTAAGCATGACTTTCAAATTTTCGGTAACTTGTTTATAATGTCAAGATATAAAGACGGTAAATTTTCTGTGTCTGTCTGCAAATTTAAACCATTCTTTTGTCTCTTAATAAACAACATTTCAGAAATAAGTCTTTTATAATAAGATGAAGTTTCGTCTAAAACCTGAACATCATCCCAACGAAAGTCATGATCACACTGCAGTCTATGACTTGTGACAGTTGAAGGAGTCACATGATTCCTGTTAATCTGAGATCTATGTTCAAAAATTCTTGTCTTCAGCATTCTCGAAGTTTGACCGATATAAGAAGCGTCACAATCAGAGCAGTTTATTTTGTAGACTACGTTAGTTTTGTAGTTACTAGGAATGTAGTCTTTATGCACTTTTATAAACTTGTTTAGTTTATTTAAACTGGTGTAGGAAAGTTTAATATCCAAGTTTTTTGTGATGTTCCTAAACTGTTCTGTAACATTTGGTAAATACGGAACAGTGAAATAAGTGGGGGAACTATTCTGCGTCCCATTAACAATGCGACCATGACTACCGATCAAGAATCTCAGCCTCTTATTCATGACTTCAAAAATGACGCTCAGCGGATAGCAATTGTTCAAAAGGATTCTAACGATAAGATCAAGGTTTTTGCTGTGAAATCTTGGATGTGATAAAGAAAAAGCCTTATCAACAAGGCCGATTATCGTGCCCCTCTTCTGGCATAACGGGTGTTGGGAATAATAATTTAAATATTTGCCCGAAAATGTAGATTTATGAAACCAGTCAAAAATTAAAGCATTATTTTCCACAATTATAGTTACATCTAGGAAATTGATTTTTCTGTCAACTTCTAATTCAGATGTAAATTGTAGTCTGTCATGAAATGAGTTAAAAATAGAAAGAGTCATGTCAGTAGAGTCGGAAGGAACTGTCATTAAAATATCGTCAACGTATCTAAAATAAAAACGGGGGGTAAATTTGAGCATATTCAAAGCATTCTTTTCTAGGTCTTGTAAGACAATATCTGCTATGATAGGTGATAAAGGAGATCCCATGGGAGTACCAAAAGTTTGTTTGTATATGATGTTATTAAAAGTAAAAAAAGTAGAGTTTAAAACTAGTCTGACTGCATTTAAAAACTCGGATTCGGGCAGATCACACGCATCACGTATAAAACACCATCTGTTCGAGACGCTGAGAAGAGCAAGATCAATAGGAATATTTGTGAATAAGGAAATGACATCCAGAGAGATCAGTTTAGAGTTATCATCCATATGGACATTCGCCAAATTATGTACTAAATCAAAGCTGTTATTAACCTGACTAGAGGCAACAGGCAAGTTCTTAATTATGACCTTGTGCAAAAACAATGCGAGAGAATAAAGTGGGCTATTAATAGAAGAAACAATGAGTCTGAATTGAATGTCAATCTTATGGATTTTAGGCAAACCATAAGCTCTAGGCAAGGTACCATCGGTGAACAGAAGAGATTTATAAGTTACATTAGAGATATAACCGTGATTCTTCCATCTAGATAATAGTTCTTTCAAATTCAAAATCAATTTTTTAGTAGGATCTTTTTTGATTATTACATAGGTGTTCTCATCACGGAGCAAAACTTCAACTTTGTTTAAATAATCGGATTTATCGAGAGCTACAGTAACGTTACCCTTGTCAGCACGAGTGAGGATGAGATCTTTGTTATTATGGAGAAAATTTTTTGTGGTCGAATAAAGACGCATCAACCATTCATTATGTAAATTTCTAGGATAAGAAAATGAGGAAATATTTTTAATTATGGATTTCGAATTGTCTCTAATAAGGTTTCTTAATTCAGGAGGAATCTTCCACAAGTTGCATTCTACATGTTTTATGAATTCCATAGTTAACTTGGGAGTGTTGATGTGAGGAAGGCTAAAATTCTCACCCAGTTGTAAAAAACATTGAATCTCAACCGGAATGTTCACATTAGATAGGTTGACAAACCATTTGTTCCTTAACTCATTTAAGTTCGAATGTGAGTTAGGATACTTGTTAGGATCAATCAACATCATTGTCTTACAAGACTTCATTGTCTTACAAGACCTAGAAAAGAATGCTTTGAATATGCTCAAATTTACCCCCTGTTTTTATTTTAGATACGTTGACGATATTTTAATGACAGTTCCTTCCGATTCTACTGACATGACTCTTTCTATTTTTAACTCATTTCATGACAGACTACAATTTACATCTGAATTAGAAGTTGACAGAAAAATCAATTTCCTAGATGTAACTATAATTGTGGAAAATAATGCTTTAATTTTTGACTGGTTTCATAAATCTACATTTTCGGGCAGATATTTAAATTATTATTCCCAACACCCGTTATGCCAGAAGAGGGGCACGATAATCGGCCTTGTTGATAGGGCTTTTTCTTTATCACATCCAAGATTTCACAGCAAAAACCTTGATCTTATCGTTAGAATCCTTTTGAACAATTGCTATCCGCTGAGCGTCATTTTTGAAGTCATGAATAAGAAGCTGAGATTCTTGATCGGTAGTCATGGTCGCATTGTTAATGGGACGCAGAATAGTTCCCCCACTTATTTCACTGTTCCGTATTTACCAAATGTTACAGAACAGTTTAGGAACATCACAAAAAACTTGGATATTAAACTTTCCTACACCAGTTTAAATAAACTAAACAAGTTTATAAAAGTGCATAAAGACTACATTCCTAGTAACTACAAAACTAACGTAGTCTACAAAATAAACTGCTCTGATTGTGACGCTTCTTATATCGGTCAAACTTCGAGAATGCTGAAGACAAGAATTTTTGAACATAGATCTCAGATTAACAGGAATCATGTGACTCCTTCAACTGTCACAAGTCATAGACTGCAGTGTGATCATGACTTTCGTTGGGATGATGTTCAGGTTTTAGACGAAACTTCATCTTATTATAAAAGACTTATTTCTGAAATGTTGTTTATTAAGAGACAAAAGAATGGTTTAAATTTGCAGACAGACACAGAAAATTTACCGTCTTTATATCTTGACATTATAAACAAGTTACCGAAAATTTGAAAGTCATGCTTAGGTATATATACGAGCCATCTCGCTGGCACTTTTACACAGTAACCGATCTTTATGTCGAACCTTATTGTCTTCCGACCCTTAATATTACTGCTGAGCGATTTCTTCGTGAGTATTTTTTGATAATTTCTTATATCATATTAATGATTCAATCTAATAGTGCCAAATTTTAGGCTGCATTTGGTACTGCTGTCGAGTTTTCGTTCAGCATCTATTGTACTTGCATAATAAGGTTCCTGTATCTCACGTCATGGAGATTTATTATTTTTTCGACAAGCGATTACTGTCTTTGCGGCATTGCGTTCTTGATTCATGTTTTTTATAATATTCATTATCATTTATTTTTATATTAGTTCTATTATGTCCTCACCGTACCATTATTTATATCTTATTTGTTATTGCGCTGAAGAAGGCTCGAAGCAAGAGCCAGAAACGTTCGCTATTATATTTATTTATATTATTTTTATTTGTAATTACTCAAATTGTACTTGATTTGCTTTTCTTTATCGGTCTATATTATCTTATTAAACTAATTTATACGATTATTATACGATTAATTTTATGCTCTCTACCGCCTTTTATCTTCTTTTTTTATGTTTAAACTAAGAGAGTTTTTCTCAATATTTGTTAATAATTTGGAATTTGACTCAAAATTAAATCGAAATGGCACATAAGAGCCACAGCCCGTTAGTTGGTGCACAGGGAAGAAACAATAATTTCTTCTTTTTTATTTTTTATTATTGGTTTATTTCAAAATTAAAATTATAATAATAAAAAGCGAACGTTTCGGATTATCTTTTGATCCTTTCTCAGTGCGTGTAAATATGCTTTTATTTCTTTATATTGTATTACTTATACATGGTGTATCTTAAAAAGCTCCCACTAAGCAAATAGCGTTATTCCTGATTAAAAACCGAGTCGAAAAGTCCTGAAAGTACCATTTTTTTCCATAATGCTTAATAAAGCAGTAATTAATGAATAAAATTGCGCCAATAAAAGGACAAACTTCCTCGTTATCAACATATGAAGATTTGGATAAGCAAAAAAATTAACTGTTTTATGTTAATTTTTAAACAATTTATCTTTTCAGAAATCTTTTTAATACTTAAATCTGATTAATTATTTAATGAATCTTGGAAAAAAATGGTTCAGGACTTTTCGACTCAGTTTTTAATCAGGAATAACGTTATTTGCTTAGTGCAAGTTTTTTAAAATATACCCTGTATATCTATATTTATCTTATTTATCTTATTTTTATCTTATATCTATATTTATCTTATTTTAATACTTTGTTTCGATTAAAACATTTTCCTGTTTTTTTTTATTTTTCTTAAACATAATTTTATTATAATATATCATTTATTATATGTTTTAATAATTTGGAATTTGATTCAAATAATTAGAAATTAAATCGAAATTGGCACATAAGAGCCACAGCGCGATGATTGGTGCGCAGGGAAGAAACAACAGTTTCTTCTTTTTTACTTTTTATTGGTTTATTTCAAATTTAAAATTACAATAATGAAAAGCAAACGTTTCGGATTATCTTTTGAGTCTTCTTCAGCGCGATGTTAACAATGTATTACGAATTATGACGCATTACGTTATAAAAATTTATTTCTCGACGCGCAGGTGGCATCAAATTGCAATCTCCCGCGGAGATCTAGCAAGCGCGCTGCTTCCAACAGTCCATCAAGTATATTATAATTTTGCTGTGCAAAGTCGCAGCAGAAAATAAATATGTTTTAAATATGTTTTAAATTATATATAATAAATATAACTATATATATTGAATTTCTATTATTAAAAAAAATATTGATAAAGATGAACATTTTTTAAATATTTGTTTGCAAAAATAAATCTATTGATGAGGATGATGATTGTTATACACTAGTTTACTCTAAGCTTAACTCTAATTTAGAGAAAGTTGGAAATAATAGATTTTAATGTAAGGTAGCGTAAATTTATGAGAGTGAAGAAGAATAAAAAAATTTTGCAAGTAAAAATTATGACATCTAATCAAGAGACACAGGGTGCCTCGCATCAAATTCACGCAGAGTCTACACAAATCGGACAAATGAGAGTTTATCTTGATCTTCAGATTATCAGACCTTAATAACGGACCGAAATTTTACTAGGTTTAATCGATAAAGCCAATAAATTGTATAAAAATTTGAATTGTATAAAAAAAGTATTTTTATTTTCGTGTTTCTGCGTGTTTTATGAACGGATCATGATGTAAAATCGTGAAATCGAAATTTTCATTTAAGAAATGTCTTTATCATCATCATCAATACACGTGTACATGCACAACACATAGAAAGAGGAAACGTACAGTTCCTACTTTCGACAAAGGATTACTTGTGATATTAATGACATGTGTCATTAGTAACATATGTGTCATTAATTAACCGTGTTTTGAGCAGTGACAAGTTAAAATAATAGATAACAACTTTAAAAAATAATTTCAATTAAAAAAACTTGATGCTGCCAATAAAAATTAGCACATATTCTAATTATTAATTCTAATTATTAGTCTAACATTAAATTTAATTACTTAGTTTCTTTAATTAATTTATGTTGAGTTACATTTGATAATTTAACAATATTTCTAAGCGAAACAATATATAATAAAGTTGACAAAGCCAGGTTCTTTTAATTAAAATTTTTTTACTTTTTCGTTTTATTTTAATTATTAATTTTCAGTTTTCATTTTTTAAAAAATTTTTTTAAAATAAATTTAAATAAAATTTAAAATAAATTTTTTAATTTTTGAATATTATTATATTTGGAATTTAAAACTACTATAACACGGTCTTCAATATTAAGATATTTATATTTAAACACATGCTTTTATCCTTAGTTGGCGCAATATTTTTATATCACTATTTTTGTAGACAATACACACAATAGTTTGATATAATTAATGCGTATTTGGCGCCCTTTTTTATTTTTTTTTAAAAAGGTAAGTTTTTAGGTATTATATTATTATAATTATACAACTCGCTCCCATTCCCAGTCATAAAGATTGGATTTTGTCACATTCCGCGTAAAAAAATCAGATTCTCTTGAAAAGGGAGAATCCCTTTTTCAAAAAATCACCAAATAAACGTGCAAGCAAAGCATAAGCAACTCTAAACAGTTGTTTACTTGTTTAGACCTTACAATTCATTCGAACCCACATATCGCGTGATTTCAAGACAGTACGAATGTTACACTCTTGACCCATTCTTTTCTGATCTGGATGTAACAGTCTGATGAATGTATAATTACGAGATAAATAAAATACGTTTTAAAAAATTTTTATAAAAATAAGTTACACAAAATTATATTTTCCGTTATTTAATCATAAAAAATGATAATACTAAATTTAAACAGCAAAATAATAATATATTTTTATTAGTACGATTTTAAAAGATTTTGTATCTGATTTAATTATTTAATTAAAAATGTTAATATGTTCAGTATACTTAATTCATTAACAATTACATATTAATATGTAATAAAATATATACATATAATGATATATAATTTCGTATTCTTGAAAAAATAATACAACAGAATTCAATAATATATAAATTAGAGATTATAATATTAATATATAATATGTAAATATATTAATAATACTAATATTATATTAACATTAAATTAATATTATATTAAAAATTAACGATATAGATATTTAAATGTATATGTTACAATTGTATATATTTAAATACATATATTTAAATGTATATTTTACAAATATTTATATGTATTTATATGTTATAATTTTGTAACAATACTTGTTAAAAAGTAAATCATAGTTAAATAAAGTATTATTTATTATTTTTTATTACAGGAAATATTACAATTTATAAATATACAATTGAAAAAGTTTCTATTTAAATATGTACTTCAAAGGTAGTATATTTATTGAATATTGAAAGACGTATATATTAAAGCGGCTTTCTCAGGTAAATATATATTTTTTTTGTCAACCCTGCAAAAAAGAAATATCAAAATGAATTATCTGCATCTGCCAACATCATCAGGCAATATTTATAATAATACAATGTTTGCAAAAGTTATTTTTTCTTGCAAAATGTAAAAAAGATTTTTTTATAAATTATATATGTATATAATTATACATTTATTAACATATGTTTTAAATAAAATATCGTAAATAAAACAAAATCTCTAATTGCAATTAATTAAAAACAAAAATTTGTTAGCTAACACTTTTAAAAATATAAAAAAGTATTTTTTAGAAAGTGAAAAGTGCTTATAATTATAAATTTGATTAAGAAACTGTTGTTGATAAAACTATAAGTGATGTTGATTTGACGTTTCTAAAACAATCATCTTCGTTGTCGAATAAAAAATTTTATTATAATTATTTCATAATATTTATAGTTATAAGTATGTGTATAACAATATTAAAATAGTATTCAACAAAATCGTACCATTCTTTTAGAGAAGAACGAGAACCCAAGCTAGCAACTTTTAGTTTCATTATTGCTGGAAGATTATAATCTGACAAATCAACTGTTTGAGAGATGTCATCCTCGAAATTAATCAGAAGTAGCACGGTGCGAGCATCGCTGCTTCTGATCACATCCAGAACTGTACCATTGTTCGTCGTGAACGATGCATAGCTTCCTTGGATAAGCGCTGGTTCCTTTCGATGCAAATAGGCTAAGGTTTTATAGATTTTATAGTGTGATTGATAACTACGCTCCTCTGCCTGCAAGTTCAACGTCTTATAGTTTGGATTCACCGGAAGCCACGTCGAATTTGCCGTGCTAAAACCTGCCGAAACGAATAATTAATTGATTCAGATTTAGAAATACATTATTAATTAATTAAACATTATAAATCGCAAAGATTCGTCTTCTACCTGCGTTCTCTTCCGCACTCCATTGGAATGGCGTTCGTTCTGGATCGCGAGATATAGCCGCATAATGATCTTTGCCCGCGATGCGAGCTAAGGGATCTTGTGCATCCGTCCAGGATATATCCAAATATTTAATTAAAAATGTTAATATATAACATATACAATATATTTAAAATATATTAACAATTATTAAAATATATCTACAAATAAAATAAAATATTAATGTAATTAAATGCGTATAATGCGTGTGTATAATTTCTATTTCCTGAAGATAATGCAACAAAATTTAATAATATATAAATTGAAAATTATAATACATAGAAAATTAATATTATAAGTGTTTAAATTATATACGTTTCAATTTTGTGAGGATACTTTTAAAAAAGTCACAATTAAATGAAGTATTTTTTTTAATTTTTTATTGCAGGAAATATTATAATTTTTAAAAGCATAGTAAAATTACGTTGTAGGAAATATTATAATTTTTAAAAGCATAGTCGACAAAGTTGCTATTTAAATACGTGCTTCGAAGGTAGCATATTCATTGAATGTTTAAAGACGTGTACACTACAGCTGCTTTCTCGGGTAAATATATATTATCTATGTTAACCCTGCAAAAGATATATAAAAATAAATTATCTGAATTTGTCAACATCACCAGACAATGCTTATAGCATAATAGTTTGCATAAAGTATATTTTTTTTGAAAAACCTAAGAGAGATTCTTTTATAAATTATATATGTATATAATTATACATTTAGCAACATATGGTTTAAATAAATATCAAACAACGGAAATCAAACAATACTTATAATTGCAATCAATTAAAAACAAAATTTGTTATCTAACACTTTTAAAAATATAAAAGCATATTTTTCAAAGAGTGAAAAGTGTTTATAATTTTTAAATTTGACTAACAAGAAACATATTTTTGTTAATAAAACTACAAGTGATGCTAAACGTTTCTAAAGAAATCATTCTCGTTATCGAATAAAAAGTTTTACTATTACTTCATAAGATTTATAGTTATAAGTATGTGTAAAAACAATTTTAAAAAAGTACTTAAAAAGCCTTACCGTTGTTTTGGAGAAGAATGAGTTCCAAAGCAAGAAACCTGAAGTTTCAATTGTTTCGGAAGATCTTGATCTGACAAATCAACAAATTGAGGGATGTAATCGTCGAAATTAATCAGAAGTAGCACGGTGCGATCATCGCTGCTTCTGATCACACCCAGAACTGTACCATTGTTCGTCGTGAACGATGCATAGCTTCCTTGGGTAAGCGCTGGTTCCTTTCGGTGCAAATAGGCTAAGGTTTTATAGATTTTATAGTGTGATTGATAACTACGCTCCTCTGCCTGCAAGTTCAACGTCTTATAGTTTGGATTCACCGGAAGCCACGTCGAATTTGCCGTGCTAAAACCTGCCGAAACGAATAATTAATTGATTCAGATTTAGAAATACATTATTAATTAATTAAACATTATAAATCGCAAAGATTCATCTTCTACCTGCGTTCTCTTCGGCACTCCATTGGAATGGCGTTCGTTCTGGATCGCGAGATATAGCCGCATAATGATCTTTGCCCGCGATGCGAGCTAAGGGATCTTGTGTATCCGCCCAGGATATATTCCTGTCGTCCACCATACCGATTTCGTCGCCGTTATAAGTCACTGCCATGCCCGGCAAAATCATGGACAACATGGTCATTTGATCCAATCTGCCTGGAAAACGCGAGGCTACGCGTGGCCTGTCATGATTTCCCAACTGAAAAAATATTACTTTCATATTAAATTCATATTATTTAAACTTCATTTATAATTGAAAAAAATAAATTTCCTATTTTTATATAACATAATACAAAATCTGAGATTCTATTGTATTTGTCACGTTTATTTTTATGAATAAGATCCATGTAACTATTGTAGAATATGAGAATTAAGCATTTGAATAAAAATCTTTTACCAAAAATACAACATACAATACAACAACATTTTGGAAAATATTAAGCCTTTGTAACTGATTTATATATAGATTATATTCTCAATTCATCTTATATATATATATATATATATATATATATATATATATATAGAGAGAGAGAGAGAGAGAGAGAAAGAGAGAGAGAGAGAGAAAACAAAAATATGTACAACTTGGATTTTTCTTTTTCAAAAAGAAAAGTTTTTAAAAATGTATGCGATAAAAATTTATAACATTGTAAATTTAAGTAAAAATTTTTCATGATTCCAGATGTAATAAATTCTGCCGTTTTTTTAAACTATTTCTAATGGAATAAAATATTTATTTTCACAATTGTATAATGCAATGCTTACAAAATATTCAATATAAATAAAAATTATAAAGCTTTTTTTATATAAAGTAATTAAGTTAGAACAATAGAAAATCTGTTAAATTTCATCAAAAGGAAGAAATAAAATAATCTTTTTATTATGATGATTTCGTGTAAATACGCACCACCCAATTGTTGCTTTTACCATATGGTACTGAGTTTATCCAGAGGTCTATTGTGTTTTTGAAATCTGTTGCGGTTGAGCTATTAGTGACATTTGTAATAAATAGGAAATTGAAAGGCAACACATCATAGTCATAATATTCTAATGTATGTTCTAAACTGCTGTACGTCTCCATCACTAACATCTAGAGAAATTAGAAAGAGCACATTTTCTAAATCAATAAGTCGTAAGTTCAAAAACATATAGATTTGAAAGAATAATATTGCTTTATTGACCTTTTGATCTAGATTACGTTCATCAGCATATCCATCTAGGTATTTTCTCCAACTTCCAAATAGCTCGTAAGTAGGTTTTAGATCAGCAGTGTAAATAGGCTCTAAATAGGTATACTGATCCGGCGTGGAATCAGGCGCATAACTTCTAGGCTCATCTCGCAATTCTTTATCCTCAAAAATATACGGGGCAGAATCTACGCGGAATCCATCTACTCCTTTATCCAACCAGAATTTCAGTGCGTTCTATAACCGATCGAAAAAGAAACATTAAGAGTTGTAAGAATAAGCTTAAAGAGCTGTAATGTCCAAGATGCTTTATACGCTTTCTTAATATATTCTTCTGGTTAAAACTTTGTTTTTAAACATAAATTTATATTTGGAATTCAATTTACGGTTATAAATTTTCACTGAAACTTTTATATACATAAATTAAAATCTGAGAAATTTATAATCTAGATTAAATAATAAATTTTTAATTGAAGCATAAATACGATAACAATATAATAAAGAATGAATTAATATGCAAACTATTAATATTAATAAATTATAATATAATTTATTTTGTAACACATATGTGTGTAAGATCGTGTTTCAAGTAATAAGTTAAAGAATATATTAAACATTTTGAATTAATAGAAATAATAAAAATTATTATATTAGTTTTTATACTAATAATACTGACAAGATTTATTAACCTAATTTATTAAAATTATAAACACAATAATTTTTTTTATTAAAACACAAATAATATTAATGTGACTGGAACACCAGAAACAAAAATATTTTAATGAAAGTCTTCTTCCGGAAACACAATATATATAACAACATTTTAGAATAATCGAATTTTTCTTTGAAACTTACTCGCATCTCCTCTACTACCTCCGGATTTGAGTAGTTCAAATCCGGCTGTATTGTACCGAATTGATGAAGATACCATTGCTTTAATGAAGGAACATAAGTCCATGCGGGAATATTAAATAGACTGAGCCAGTTGTTAGGAGGTGTTTTGTCATCTTTATTTTTACCGTCTGCCCATATATAATATTCCTTATATTTCTCATCGCCTTGAAGAGCCTTTTGGAACCATGGGTGCTGGTCAGACGTATGGTTAGGTACGAAATCGAGGACAACCTATAGGAATGATAAAGTAACTATAAAAAAAAATTAATAATTCTCTACATTTAATTATCATAATATGAACAATCAAATTATATTATATATAAAAATTATGATTGGAATAAATTAATTGATTGACATAAAATTATTTTATATTATATATAAAAAATCATGTAGGCAGACTGCCGCACTTTTAGGCCGAGTTTATGAGCTCTCATCACAAGTTTCTCAAAATCTTCTAGTGTACCAAATATTGGAGCGATTTCCGTAAAATTAGATATGTCGTATCCACCATCAGCCATAGGACTCGAAAATATGGGCGACAACCATATCGCGTTGATGCCACTATTCTTGACATACTGGAGCTTTAAAGTTATTCCTGAACATCGGAAAACAAAATTTCAAATTTTGCTCATGTTGCTATACTTGACTTATTGATTTTACCATTAATATTTATCAATAATAAACCTACACACTCGGAAATTAATTAAATATAATTAGCAATAATTAATCAATAAAATTATAACATATATATAAATGTAATAATTTTTTATTCTTCATTCTTATTTTTTTTTTTAATTCATTTATTCTTCTCTTCTTATCTTATGCGATATATATTAACAAATAACGATTGACATATTTACCATTTAGATCGCCTACGCCATCACCATTGGAATCATAGAAACTTTTCGGATAAACCTGATAGAAGACAGTGCTGTTCCACCACGACTTATTGAAAATCTCTGCAGATGAACTGCTGAGCAGCAGCAGTAACGCACATAAACTTGTTGTCAGCGACATAATTGCCGTTTGCATTTGTCGAATCTGAAAATGCTTATATATACATTCATGACTCTGAAAATCAGTTATCTTCTTATTTTTTAAAATTAATTTTCTTCGATCATGCTTAATAAATGTTGCAATATTTTTACGCTTGAGAAAAACAAATAATTGACATGCATAGAACAAATAGATTGATTACTGCTGCTGTATGACTTTTTCATAGTCATTTATCAATTATTGCGATAGATAACTAAAATTTCATGGAAAGATCGCAAAATTAATGACAATGAATCTATATAAATGACAGAATCTTTATCAATAATAACATTATTTGTACAATGAGGAATCGGAAATTACCATAATTTATGATCTGTGATGTGTCGTATAGTTTTAAATTAAATTCAAAAGTAACACAAGGATTGCATTTAAGCGCGACTTTGGAAGCTTATTTTATTATAATCATGTGTATTACCACATTTAAAATATTTCTAGGCTCATACAATCTTACAAATCTTAGATTTAGTTTACAAAATTAAAATGCATTTCTTTAAAAACTTTATTTAAAGAAAATTTGGTCGATCGTTCATTTGAAGACCTTCAGTGTCTTTCAAGCCTTTGTTTGGGAAAATTTTCAACGGTTGGCAATTGGCAATTCCTTAATTTTTGCAGGATAAAAAACATATTGAACAATTGAACATAATGAACATATTATTAATATAATGAATAATTTCGCGTTTTTACTCTCGTAATGCGAAGATATATTTTGAATTTTGTACGGAATTCGTGATCCGCATTACAATGATAGGCAGTATAAAAGTATATAGCGTAATATTGTGCCTAAACATGCGACAGGTATCTTCGTAGAAGTTCTGGAATTTGAGATATGTATGTTTATATGAATTTAGCCTGCTTTTTCCAATGCTCTTTTATATAGCATTTATTTTTATTAAATTGTATTGTGTACATTATACATATATACTACATATATATTAACATTATACATATATATTAAATATTATACATATATATTAACATTATACATATATATATATTATACATATATATTAACATTATACATATATATTAAAAGCGAACGAACGAATCAAAAACATTTAATTAAGGCAGCTAGATCGTATATCGCTATCTGTAATACGATTTTTCTAAACAGTTCTTCTCTGTTAAAAATCCTCGTAGGACTCGCGTAGTCGCGAAATATGATTGTTCTTGTCGCAGCTAATATCAGAAACATGTACACGAGAATATGAATATAAAGAATATGAATATAAACGAACATATATTAGTGAATTTTTAAGATTGATTTTATCGAATAAACAGATATTTAAATATAAAAATGTTTTTTATATATTAAAGAAAGTCGTTTTTGTTAGACTTATTTAAAATGAAAAGTTACTAAAGAATTATATCATTTTATTTATATTTTTAGAATTTTTGATAGGTGTCAATATGCTTTTATTTCTTCATATTGTATTACTTATATATCTATATTTATCTTATTTTAATACTTTGTTCCAATTAAAAAATTTTCCTGTTTTTTCTTTTTATTTTTCTTAGACATAATTTTTTTATAATACATCATTTATTATATGTTTTAATAATTTGGAATTTGACAAATAATTAAAAATTAAATCGAAATGGCACATAAGAGCCACAGCGCGATAGTTGGTGCGCAGAGAAGAAACAATAATTTCTTCTTTTTTATTTTTTATTATTGGTTTATTTCAAAATTAAAATTATAATAATAAAAAGCGAACGTTTCGGATTATCTTTTGATCCTTTCTCAGTGCGTGTAAATATGCTTTTATTTCTTTATATTATATTACTTATACATAGTGTATCTTAAAAAGCTCCCACTAAGCAAATATCGTTATTCCTGATTAAAAACCGAGTCGAAAAGTCCTGAAATTTTTTTCCATAATGCTTAATAAAGCAGTAATTAATGAATAAAGTTGCGCCAATAAAAGGACAAACTTCCTCGTTATCAACATATGAAGATTTGGATGAGCAAAAAAATAAACTGTTTCATGTTAATTTTTAAACAATTTATCTTTTCAGAAATCTTTTTAATACTTAAATCTAATTAATTATTTAATGAATCTTGGAAAAAAATAGTTCAGGACTTGGTTTTTAATCTCAGGAATAACGTTATTTGCTTAGTGCAAGCTTTTTAAGATACACCCTGTACATCTATATTTATCTTATTTTAATACTTTGTTTCGATTAAAACATTTTCCTGTTTTTTTTTATTTTTCTTAAACATAATTTTATTATAATATATCATTTATTATATGTTTTAATAATTTGGAATTTGATTCAAATAATTAGAAATTAAATCGAAATTGGCACATAAGAGCCACAGCGCGATGATTGGTGCGCAGGGAAGAAACAACAGTTTCTTCTTTTTTACTTTTTATTGGTTTATTTCAAATTTAAAATTACAATAATGAAAAGCAAACGTTTCGGATTATCTTTTGAGTCTTCTTCAGCGCGATGATAACAATGTATTACGAATTATGACGCATTACGTTATAAAAATTTATTTCTCGACGCACAGGTGGCACCAAATTACAATCTCCCGCGGAGATCTAGCAAGCGCGCTGCTTCCAACAGTCCGTCAAGTATATTATAAATTTGCTGTGCAAAGTTGCAGCAGAAAATAAATATGTTTTAAATATGTTTTAAATTATATATAGTAAATATAACTATATATATTAAATTTCTATTATTAAAAAAATATTGATAAAGATGAACATTTTTTAAATATTTGTTTGCAAAAATAAATCTATTGATGAGGATGATGATTGTTATACACAAGTTTGCTCTAAGCTTAACTCTAACTTAGAGAAAGTTGGAAATAATAAATTTTAATGTAAGGTAGCGTAAATTTATGAAAGTGAAGAAGAATAAAAAAAATTTTGCAAGTAAAAATTATGACACATCCAATCAAGAGACACAAAGGGTGCCTTGCATCAAGTTCACGCAGAGTCTACACACGAATCGGACAAATGAGAGTTTATCCTGATCTTCAGATTATCAGACCTCAATAACGGATCGAAATTTTACTAGGTTTAATCGATAAAGCCAATGAATTGTATAAAAATTTGAATTGTATAAAAAAAGTATTTTTATTTTCGTTCTGCGTGTTTTATGAACGGAGATATCATGATGCAAAATCGTGAAATGGAAATTTTTATTTAAGAAATGTCTTTATCATCATCATCAATACACGTGTACATGCACAACACATAGAAAGAGGAAACGTATAGTTCCTACTTTCGACAGAAGATTACTTGTGATATTAATGACATGTGTCATTAGTAACATATGTGTCATTAATTAACCGTGTTTTGAGCAGTGACAAGTTAAATAATAGATAACAACTTTAAAAAATAATTTCAATTAAAAAAACTTGATGCTGTTAATAAAAATTAGCACATATTCTAATTATTAATTCTAATTATTAGTCTAACATTAAATTAGTCTAACATTAAATTTAATTACTTAGTTTCTTTAATTAATTTATGTTGAGTTACATTTGATAATTTAACAATATTTCTAAGCGAAACAATATATAATAAAGTTGACAAAGCCAGGTTCTTTTAATTAAAATTTTTTTACTTTTTCGTTTTATTTTAATTATTAATTTTCAGTTTTCATTTTTTAAAAATAAATTTAAATAAAATTTAAAATAAATTTTTTAATTTTTGAATATTATTATATTTGGAATTTAAAACTACTATAACACGGTCTTCAATATTAAGATATTTATATTTAAACACATGCTTTTATCCTTAGTTGGCGCAATATTTTTATATCACTATTTTTGTAGACAATACACACAATAGTTTGATATAATTAATGCGTATTTGGCGCCCTTTTTTATTTTTTTTTAAAAAGGTAAGTTTTTAGGTATTACATTATTATAATTATACAACTCGCTCCCATTCCCAGTCATAAAGATTGGATTTTGTCACATTCCGCGTAAAAAAATCAGATTCTCTTGAAAAGGGAGAATCCCTTTTTCAAAAAATCACCAAATAAACGTGCAAGCAAAGCAGCATAAGCAACTCTTAACAGTTGTTTACTTGTTTGTAGACCTTACAATTCATTCGAACCCACATATCGCGTGATTTCAAGACAGTACGAACGTTACACTCTTGACCCATTCTTTTCTGGATGTAACAGTCTGATGAATGTATAATTACGAGATAAATAAAATACGTTTTAAAAAATTTTTATAAAAATAAGTTACACAAAATTATATTTTCCGTTATTTAATCATAAAAAATGATAATACTAAATTTAAACAGCAAAATAATAATATATTTTTATTAATACGATTTTAAAAGATTTTGTATCTGATTTAATTATTTAATTAAAAATGTTAATATGTTCAGTATACTTAATTCATTAACAATTACATATTAATATGTAATAAAATATATACATATAATGATATATAATTTCGTATTCTTGAAAAAGTAATGCAACAGAATTCAATAATATATAAATTAGAGATTATAATATTAATACTAATATTATATTAACATTAAATTAATATTATATTAAAAATTAACATTATATTAATATTATATTAATATTATATTAATATTATATTAATATTATATTAACAATATTATATGTAACATAAAATTAAAATTATAGATATTTAAATGTATATGTTACAATATATATTTAAATACATACATTTAAATGTATATGTTACAAATATTTATATGTATATGTTATAATTTTGTAAGAATACTTGTTAAAAAGTAAATCATAGTTAAATAAAGTATTATTTATTATTTTTTATTCCAGGAAATATTACAATTTATAAATATACAATTGAAAAAATTTCTATTTAAATATGTACTTCAAAGGTAGTATATTTATTGAATATTGAAAGACGTATATATTAAAGCGGCTTTCTCAGGTAAATATATATTTTTTTTGTCAACCCTGCAAAAAAGAAATATAGAAATGAATTATCTGCATCTGCCAACATCATCAGGCAATATTTATAATAGTACAATGTTTGCATAAGATATTTTTTCTTGCAAAATCTAAAAAAGATTTTTTTATAAATTATATATGTATATAATTATACATTTATTAACATATGTTTTAAATAAAATATCGTAAATAAAACAAAATCTCGAATTGCAATTAATTAAAAACAAAAATTTGTTATCTAACACTTTTAAAAATATAAAAAAATATTTTTTAGAAAATGAAAAGTGCTTATAATTATAAATTTGACTAAGAAACGGTTACTTGTTGATAAAACTATAAGTGATGTTGATTTGACGTTTCTAAAAAAATCATCTTCGTTGTCGAATAAAAAATTTTATTATAATTATTTCATAATATTTATAGTTATAAGTATGTGTATAACAATTTTAAAATAGTATTCAACAAAATCGTACCATTCTTTTAGAGAAGAACGAGAACCCAAGCTAGCAACTTTTAGTTTCATTATTGCTGGAAGATTATAATCTGACAAATCAACTGTTTGAGAGATGTCATCCTCGAAATTAATCAGAAGTAGCACGGTGCGAGCATCGCTGCTTCTGATCACACCCAGAACTGTATTATTGTTTGTTGTGAACGATGTATAGCTTCCTTGGGTAAGCGCTGGTTCCTTTCGATGCAGATAGGCTAAGGATTTATAGATTTTATAGTGCGATTCATCACTACGTATCTCTCGCTCCAAGTTCAACTCTTTATAATTTGGATTCACCGGAAGCCACGTCGAGTCCGCCGTACTAAAACCTGCCATAATTAATAATTAATTGATTAAGATTTAGAAATACATTATTAATCAATTGAACATTATAAATCGCAAAGATTCGTCTTCTACCTGCGTTCTCTTCCGCACTCCATTGGAATGGCGTTCGTTCTGGATCGCGAGATATAGCGGCATAATGATCTTTGCCCGCGTTACACGCTTTGGGATCTTGCGTTTCCTTCCAAGATATATCCGTGTCCACCATACCGATTTCATCGCCGTTATAGGTCAATGTCATTCCCGGCAAAATCATGGACAACATGGTCATTTGATCCAATCTGCCGGGAAAACGCGAAGCTACGCGTCGATTGTCAGGATTTCCCAACTAAGAAAATATAATTTATATTACATTTCAATATATTTATTATTGAAAAAAAATAAATTTCCCATTTATATAAAACATGATGATAACAGAAAAATTTGAAATATTGTTCTATTTGTTACATTTATTTTTATAAGTAAGATCAATGTAACTAGAATACGAGAATTAAACATTTTGATGAAATTCTACCAGAAATACAACATATATGACGACATTTTAGAAAAAACTAAACTTTTGTAACATATACATATATGTATAGATTTTTAGCAATTTCATCTTATATAGAGAAAATAATGAAGAGCGGATTTTACAACTTGGACTTTTTTTAGAAAAGTTTTATAAATCTGTATCCGATAAAAATTTATAACTATATAAAAATTTAAATAAAAATCTCTCGTATTTAAATTCTATTCCTTTCTTAAAAATTATTTTTAATAGAATAATATTTATCTTCAAAAAATTATAGTATGACATATACATATAATATTCCACACTAAGAAAAATCACTTTGACTGTACCAACAAGACAAGATATAATGATTAAATTAAGTAGAAATTAAGTAGAAGTTCTTTTTATCATGATAAGACTCGATTTTTTATATAACTAGATAACTAGATAACTAGATAACTAGAATGTTTAATAGACTTTTTATAAGGATTTGATTAATATTTTCTAATTGGATCTATAAAACTTTTTGTTATATTAAATAAACATGAACAGAGTGATGTCATTTTTTTAATTTAGTTTTATTACCAAGAAAATTTGATAAACTTTTAACAGAAAAAAATTAATCATACTCATCTGATAATTCTTAAAGGAATTGTGATTCTTAAAAAAGTTCTGTCTATTTTCTAACAGATATACTGATTAAATTGATCATATTTCTAATTAATGCAACCAAATTTTTTTCTCAATACATATAAATAAGAATTATAAAACGCTTCCTTTACATTATAATTAGAACAACATAGATTCTGTTAAATTTCATCAAAAAGAAGAAGTAAAATTTTTTCATTAAAATTATAATGACGTGTGAATACGCACCACCCAATTGGAGACTTCATCATGTGGTATTGAGTTTATCCAGAGATCGATTTTTTCTTTGAAATATTTCGCGGACGATTTAGCAGTCACATTTATAATGAACTCGAAATTGAAAGGCAACACACTATAGTTATAATATTCAATCGTATGTGGAAAACTGGTATACGCCTCCATCACCAGTAACTAAAAAGATTAGAAAAAGCACATTTTTTAAGTCATAAGTTTAAAAACATATAGATTTGAGAAAATAATGTTGCTTTATTGACCTTTTGATCTTGATTATGTTGATCAGCATATTCATCTAGGTATTTTCTCCAACTTCCAAATAGCTCATAAGAAGCTATTTGATCAGTGGTATAAATGTGATTCAAGTACTCGTAATCTTGCGGTGTTTCACCAGCCGCATTACTTCTAGGCTCATCTCGCAATTTTTTATCCTCAAAAATAAATGCGGCGGAATCTACGCGGAATCCGTCTATTCCGGTATCCAACCAGAATGTCAATATATTCTATAATCCGTCAAAAAAATCATTGGAAGTTGTAAATTGTAAGAATAAGTGTTATAATGTGTGAAAGATTTTATACGCTTTCCTTTATCTTTCTGGTTATATAAAACTTTGTTTTTTTACATAAATTTACATTTCAAATTCAACATGCGGTTATAAATTTTCACTAAAACTTTCATGTGCAAAATAAGAAGCTATTTGAAAAAATTTATGATCTAAATTAAATAATAAATTTTTAATCGAGATAAAAATACGGATAAAAAAGTTAAACAATGAATTAATGTGCAAACTATTAATGCTAATAAATTATGACATAATTTATTGTATAACATATTACGTATATAGAAGATGATATTTCGAGCAATAAGTTAAAGAATATATTAAACGTTTCAAACACATTAATAGAAATAATAAGAGTTTTATTGGATTGCATCTACTAATAATACTGATAAAATTTATTAACATAATTTATTGAAATTATAAATGCGATAATTTTTTTATAAAATCACAAATAAAATTAATGTGACTGGAAAATCAGACACATTTTTCATGAACGTTTTGTTCCGGAAATTCAATATACAAGGTGTCTCAGTTTATTTTCGTCAAATATCGACTTTTCAAGGTCAAACCAATGGCATCATCTTATGGCCCCCTTCAAACCATACAACTTTTGTCTAAAACATTTTTTTCTAACTCTATGTAATATCGAAATATTTGACTGACAAGAATAAAATGGGACACCCTGTATATTAGCAACATTTTAGAACAACTGAGCTTTTCTCTGTAACTTACTTTCATCTCCTCCACTACGGCAGGATTTGAATAATTCAAATCAGGCTGTGTATATTCGAATTGATGAAGATACCACCGTTTTAGTGAATCGGCATAAGTCCACGCGGGGCCACCGGATACACTGAGCCAATTATTAGGTGGTGTTTTGAAATCTTTATTTTTACCTTCTGCCCAAATATAATATTCTTTATATTTCTCATCGCCTTGAAGAGCTTTTTGGAACCATATGTGCTCGTCAGACGTATGATTAGGTACAAAATCCAGGATTACCTATAAGAATAATAAAATAAACGTACAAACAAAAAGACGACGATATCGATATATTTCATAGGCCGAAAAAAACCAGTACTTTTCTACATTAAATTATGATCATAATATTAGCAATCAAGTTATATAAAATCGTGATATAGGAAAATTGCCGCACTTTTAGACCGAGTTTCTTAGCTTCCACCAAGAGAGCCTTGTAATCATCCATTGTACCAAAAATTGGATCAATTTCCGTAAAATTAGATATGTCGTATCCAGAATTGGCCATAGGACTCAAATATATGGGCGACAACCAAATCGCATTGACGTCGGAATCAGCGATATAGTATAGTTTTGAAATTATTCCTAAAACATCATAGAATACAATTTCAAATTTTGCCAATATATTTGGCTTAAGTTACTTTAGCATTAATATTTTTTAATAATAAACATACACAGGTTCATTGGAAATTAACTAAATATAATTAGAAATAATTAATCGAATAGATAATTATGCGAATGTAATAATTTTTTATTTTTCGTTCTTATCATCTTCTGTTCTGTTTAATTCATTCATTATTTTCTTCTTATTTTATACTTATTAACAAATAACGACTGACATATGCTTACCTTTCAGATCGCCTACGCCATCGGCATTGGAATCATAAAAACTCTTCGGATAAATCTGATAAAGGATAGTGTTGTTCCACCACGATTTATTGAAAATCTCTGCAGATGAACTGCTGAGCAGCAGCAGAAACGCACATAAGCATGTTGTCAACGACATGATGCCGTTTGTACTAGTCGAATATAAAAATTACTTATATATATATATATATATATATATATATATATATATATATATATAATGGCTAAATTTAATGACTAAAAAATCAGCTACTTCCTTATCAGTTATGCTTAATAAATGTTTGTGCAATATCTTTATTCTCGAAAAGAAAAAAATAAAACTAATGGCTTTATTATTTATTACAGCTGTGTGACTTCTTCATAGTCATCAATCAATTACTGCGATAAATGCCTAATGTTAAAAAAATCGCAGAATTAATGACAATGTCTGTATAAGTGACAGAATTTTTATTAATCATCAACATTAACCATAAAATACAAAATGGTAACGGTTCGTTAATATATACGTGGCAATAAACGTGGCAATGATACGTGATATCGTAAAGATATGATAAGCATATTATTTCAAATATAATTTTTTCAATTATTATAATTATAATATACTAATATTATGAATGATCATTGACGTAACGAATGATCATTGAATTTTAAGTTGCGAGATCATGAGAGATACTCAACGGGATACTGTTATCAATTTGTAAAAAGCGCAGAATCTGATTTATTAAGACTCAATTATTGAGAATTGTTTGGAATAGTGCGCTTATCAGATCTCTGTGAGATACAACTTAACATTATCTGTGCGTCGATTGACAGATAATTTTATAAATTAATATGTCACCATATAATATCCTCTAAACTATTAGTATATAATATACTATAATTGATATAGTGCTGAAAAACACTGAACTATCAACTAACAACTTTTATTTTAAAATTGCGACGTAATACAGTATTTTGAAAGTTAGAATTATATTTAATATCTAGAAAAGTAGAGAATTTTATGTATTTTTAAAAAGAATTATATATATATATATATATATACATTTTTTTTAAAATAGCATAATTTTTTATATATTAATTACATATGAATTTTATATATAATTTTATGCATATCAGCAATCAAAGTGCATTTTTTACATTTTATATGCCGAATACCTTCGAGAATTCTTATTTTAAATTTCTCATTGACCCTTAAAGCTTTAAAAATTCTTTTCCACAAGAAAAGAGGAACTCCGTTCAAAATTCGTTAACTCTAAAATTAATGAACACGGAGGCGTCTGGCTCAAGCAGCAGCCGATCCTATTAGCGACAGATATAAGTTGGATAAACCTCAATGAGTGTCCGCTAATTCCTCGCATATCAACCTGTATTTCCGGATGATTTCTCTATCAGACTTGATCTTATTAATCTAAAAAAAATTCAAACATTCCTGAATAAAGCTCCCAGTTCAATCATCCTTACATACTCCGTTTAGAATAACTTTCATTTAGCCATAGAAATTATGTGGCAGATGTATCCTCCTTTTTCAACATCCATTAAATACATTAAGAATTTTATTTTTTTTTTATTAATTCAAGATTAAAAGTAACTGTAATCAGAGCATAAATATAATGTTAGTTTCATATATATAATAATATTATAATTAATATTAATAATATTGTATTAATATTAATATTATATTAATATTATGTTAATAATATTACATGTAACATAAATTTAAAGTTATGGATGTTTAAATTATATATGTTACAATTTTGTAAAGATTTAAAAGGATTTAAAAGGATTTTTAAGGATTTGTAAAAAGATTTTTAAGGATTTGTAAAAAGATTTTTAAAAAGTAACACAATTAAATAAAAAATTATTTATTATTTTTCATTGCAGGATATATTGTAATTTATAAGTACACAATCGAGAGAAAGTGTTTACTCTACTACAAATATCATATGTACGGAGGTTAGATATGAAAATAGTATATTCATTGAATGTTAAAAGACGTGTACACTACAGCGGCTTTCTCCGGTAAATGTATATTCTTCACGTCAACCCTGCAAAAGATATAAAAATGAATCATATATCTACACACAGAATCTGTCAACATTACCATACAATATTTATAATGTTTGCATAAAATATGTTTTTTTTAATCTAAAAGACTTTTTTTATGAATTGTGTAATATATTTATTTTTTGTATTATATATTTAGTAACACATATTTTAAATAAAAAATATATCTATAACAAAAATAATTGCAATTAATTAAAAATAAAAATTTGTCATCTAACATACCTAAAATAATACAACTATTTTTTAGAGTAAAAAGTGTTTCTAATTATTAAAATTTGATTATGAAACGCACTTAATAAAATTAATAAAGAGATATGAAGTTAATAAAGTTAATAAAGTGACGTGATTAGACGTTTCTAAAATATCATCAAATATTTCTAAAATATTTTCTTTGTCGAATAAAAAGTTCGACTATTATAATTATTTAATAATATTTATAAGTATGTGTATGAACAAATTTAAAAAAATATTTAAAAAATCTTACTGTTGTTTTAAAGAAGAATGAGAGCCCGAGGAAGCAACCTTGAGTTTCAGTGTCTCCGCAAGATCATGATCTGACAAATCAACGTCTTGAGAAATGTCATCCTTGTAGTTAATCAGAAGCAGCACGTAACGATCACCGCTGTTTCTGACCACACCTAGGACTGCACCATCGTTCATGATGAATAATGTATAGCTTCCTTCGGTAAGTGCTGGTTCCTTTCTGTGCAAATGGGCTAAATTTTTGTAGATATCATAGTGCGAATTCTTAATACCCATCTCTTCCTTTAAGTTCAATTGTTTATAGTTTGAATTCACCGGAAGCCACGTCGAATCTGCCGTACTAAAAGCTGCCGTAACGAATAATTGATTAAGATTTAGAAATACATTAATAAATTTAAAAATTACATTAATTATTAATAATTTGTACAGCGTAAATCGCAAAGATTCGTTTTCTACCTGCGTTCTTCTCAGCGTTCCATTGGAATGGCGTTAGTTCTGGATCACGAGATACAACCGCATAATGCTCTTTGCGCGCTTTGGGATCTTGTGATTGTGCATAGAATATATCGTTATCGTTTACCATGCCAATTCATCGCCGTAATAAGTCACTGCTATGCCCGGCAAAATCATTGACAACATGGTCATTTGATCTACTCTGTCGGGAAAACGCGAGGCTACGCGGGGATGGTCATGAGTTCCCAACTAAGAAAATATAGTTCATATTACACTTCAACTTTATTTATAATTAAAAAAAAATTTTCTACTTTTACATGCATGATGATGACAAAAAATCTAAAATGCTGTTCTATTTTTTCACAATTATTCTTATAAATAAGATCAATGTAACTAGAATACGAGAATTAAACATTTTGATGAAAATCTTTTACCTGAAATACAAAATATACGCAAATATTTTAGAAAAAGTATGTCTTTGCTGACTTATATATAAATGTTTGGGAATTTATTTTACATATATATTGTAAATAATAAATAGCAAGAAATTTTTTTGCACAATTTCGATTTTTTTAAGAAAAGTTTATAACTTTGTAAAAATATGTGTGATAAAAGTTTATAACTTTGTAAATTTAGATAAAAATTTCTCATGATCGTACATTTAGTAAATTATGCCGTTATCATAAACTATTTTTAATGGAATAAAATTGTTACGATCAAAATTATATAATACAAAATTATATAATACGACATACATGGCATACAATACAAATGAGAATTATGAAATCTTCTTTCTTTAAATTGTAATTTCCTTACATTGTAAAATAGAACAATATAGAATCTGCTAAATTTAAATAAAAAGTGAAATCATTTCATTAAGATTATGATGACTTCATGTGAATACATACCAGCCAATTGGGGACTTCACCACTCGGCAATGAGTTTATAAACAGGTCGATTTCTTCTTTCACATCATGCGCGGACGAATTAACAGTCACATTTTTAATCAAATCAAAATTTAAAGATAATGTATAATCGGAATAATATTTTATTGTATGTGATAAATTGATAGCGGCTTCAATCAGCAACATCTAAAGAAATTAAAAAGAACATATTTTCTCACTAAACACAAAAGATTTGAAAAAATAATACTGCTTTATTGACCTTTTGCACTCCATTACGTTCATCAACATATTTATCCATAAATGTTCTCAAATGTCTTAATATTTCGTAAGTACGTTCTTGATCCATGGTGTAAATATGATTCAAATAAAAGTAATCTTGCGGTGTTACACCAGTCACATAACTTCTAGGCTCATCCCGCAATTCTTTATCCTCAAAAATATACGGGGCAGAATATACGCTAAATCCGTTTACTCCCGTATCTAACCAGAATTTTAATATATTCTATAAGTGGTCGAAAAAATTATTAAGAGTTGTAAAAATAAGCCTGAAGTGCTGTAATGTATAAGATGTTTTATACATTTTATTTATACATTTTTATTTATTTATATATTTTTCTAGTTATAAAACTTTTTTTCATATAAATTTATATTTCAAATTTCAATTTGCAGTTATAAAGTTTCACTGAAACTATTATGTATTATAATTATGTATTATGTATTATAATTAATATATAAATAAAAAGCAACCTAAAAAAATTTATAATTTAGGTTAAATAATAAATTTTTAATCGCTGCAGTAATACTATAACAAAATATTAAACGATGAATTAATATGAAATTAATATTAAATTATTAATATGTAAATGTACATGCATTAACATGAAAAAAAAATTAATACTAATTAATGCTATAATTTATTTTATGAAATATTTATTATATATGTGAAAGATGATATTTCAAGCAATAGATTAAAGAATATAACTTAACATTTTAATTGAATAAAAAAAATAAAAATTATTATTAGATATATACTAATAATACTGATAAGATTTATTAACATAATTTATTGAAATTTTAAACTCAATAGTTTCTTTATGAAAACGTAAAGAAATTAATGTAACTGAATCACCGGAAACATATTTTGATGAAATTTGATGAAAGTTTTCTCCCAGAAATATATATATATATATATATATATATATATATATATATATGTATATATATATACATCGAGATAGAGAAAGGGAAATAGGAAAGGTAAAGCAACATTTTAAAACTGGACTTTTATCTATAACTTACTTTCATCTCCTCCACTACGTCAGGATTTGAGTAGTTCAAATCAGGCTGTTCTTTAACGAATTGATGAAGATAAAATTTTCCTAATGAATCTACATAAGTCCATGCGGGGCCACCGATCCTACTGATCCAATTATTGGGCGGAGTTATGTTATCTTTATTTTTACCTTCTGCAAACATATAATAATTCTTATATTTCTCATCACCTTGAAGAGCCTTTTGGAACCATGGGTGCTTGTCAGACGAATGATTAGGTACAATGTCAAGAATCACCTATAAGAATACCATAGTAATTACATACAAAAAAAAAACGACAACATCGATATAATACACAGACTAAAAAAAAACAATAATTCTCTAAATTTAATTACGATCATAATATGCACAATTAAATTATATTATATATAAAAATCATGATATAGGCAAACCGCCGCACTTTTAAGCCGAGTTCATGAGCTTGTGTCAAGAGAGAATGGAAATCATCCATTGTAAAAATTGGATCGATTTCTGTAAAATTAGATATGTCGCATCCAAAATTTTTCATAGGACTCGAATATATGGGCAACAACCGGATCACGTCGATGCCACTATCCACGATGTAATATAAACTTTGAAGTTATTCCTGATAACATCAGAAAACAAAATTTCAAGTTTTGTTCATGTTTCCATACTTAACTTATTTACTTTAGTATTATTATTTATCAATAATAAACCTACGCATTCAAAAATGAACTAAATACAGCAATAATTAATAGCAATAATTAATTAGCAATAATTAATTGGACAAAATTATAACATATATATGAATATAATAATTTGTTATTCTTCATTCATATTCTTATCTTCTTTTTTAATTCATTTATTCTTCTCTTTTTGTCTTATGTAATACATATTAACAAGTAACAATTGATATATATTTACCTTTCAGATCGCCTATGCCATCACCATTGGTATCATACAAACTTTTCGGAGTAATCTGATAGAGAACAGTGTTGTTTCACCATAACTTATCGTAAATCTCAGCAGATGAACTGCTAACAAGCAGCAAAGCCGCACAAAAGTATGTTGTCAGCGACATGATGTTGTTTGTATTTCGTCGAATCTGAAAATTGCTTATATATACTTTAATGACTAAAGAAATGAGTTACTTCCTTATCAATCGTGCTTACTGAATACAATATCTTTACGCTCGAAGAAACAAAATAAATGACATAGAACAAATGGCTTAATAAGTATAGTTATGTGTGTCAGTCATCAATCAATTTCTGCTATAAATAACAAGTTTCATTCATGTATCGTAGAATTAATGACACAATATCTACAGGGTGTCCTAAAAGACAAGAACCCTTAAAAATTTCGAGAAATATATGTTTTATAGAAAAACATATTTTTAGATAAAAATTGTAAAGTTTAAAACAATCTATTTACTGATCTTATTAATTTGACCGTTGATAGTGTCGCTAAGGTCAGGGCAAAGTCACCCTAAATTTTTTAAACCGATCCCCCTATTTTTTATTGCATATTCTTGTAGCATATTTTTTATCTCCAGAGCTTCTCTTGGAGCTATATATATATATATATATATATATATATATATATATATATTTATACACTTTGCAGTCTGTTTTAAAGTTATTTTTTATAAGAGTTTATAAAAATTTATAAAAATTTATATAAGAGTTTATAAAAGTTTAAAAGAGTTTATAAAAGTTATTTTTTATAAGTAAGAATCTAGTTAACTAAGGCAAGATTGGTCGTAAATCCACAATTAAATCCACAACTAAATCTTAATTGGTTGAATCTATGACCGATTTTGCCTTGGTTACTATAAAATCCTTTACCATAAAAGATTCGATAACTTCGAAAGGTATCGCAAAGTGTATAAAATATTATTGTTGTTTATTATTATTGTTGCTGTTTCAAAAACTTTCTCGAGGTAAGTTACAGGAACATATAATGAAAAATAAGGGATTGCGTTTAAAAAATTTAGGGTGATTTTGCTCTGATCTTGGCGACTCTATCAATCTAATAAGATCGATAAATAGATCATTTTAAATCCTACTCTTTTATCTGAAATATTTTTCTGTAAAATACTTTTCTATACCAACTTATATTTCTCGAGGTTTTTAAAGGTCCCGACTTTTTCGAAATACCCTGTATATAAGCGACAAGATCTTTATTAATTACATTGTCCGTACAATACAGAACAATTACCATAATTTACAATGTTCTGTGATGTGCGGATATAGTTTTAAATTAAATCTGAAAATACCCCAAGGTTTGCATTTAAACACGGAAATGTTTCATTATAATGATGCATATTGTAGTAATGTACATGGCAGCATGACATAAATGATATTTAAAAAGAATAAATTGCATTATTTTCTGCAAATAACAAACTGAACACATTATTATTACCTGATAGCGAAAAAATATACATAGTAATATCTAATAGTAAGAAAAATGTAGTATACTGTAATAAACATCATATAGTTGGTAATATACAGTATAGTAAAATATATTAAAATAATTAAAATTAAATCAAAATTGGCAAATTAAAGTTGCAAGTTGGCAAATTAAGATTATAGCAAGGTAGTTAGAGAATAAGGAAGAAACAACATTTTCTTCTTTCTAATTACTCGTATATTTCAAAATAAATATTACATTACATGCATCAAAAACAAACGTTTCACGAATCATATTTTGATCCATTTTCAGTGCAACATTAATAATAGAGAGGGTGTTACATGATGATATATTAGAGAGTGTAGTGTAAGTGTAGTTAAATTATAAAATTATTTGTCAATCGATGTGCAGTTATATCTCGTAAAGAACTGGTAAGCATATTGTGCCAACTTATCTGTGTCGATTGACAGATGATTTTGACAGATAATTTAACACGTCACCATATAATATCCTCTAAGGAATTAGTATATTATAATGTCGCACTGAAGGACACTGAATTATCAACTAACGACTTTTATTTCAAAATTGCGACGTGATAGAGTATTTTGAAACTTAAAATTATATTTAACCTAGAAAAGTAGAGAATTTTATGTATTTTTAAAAAGAATTATATATATATATTTTTTTTAAGAATAGCATAATTTTTTATATATTAATTACATATGAATTTTATATATAATTTTATGCATATCAACACTCAAAGTGCATTTTTTATATTCTATATGCCGAATACCTTCGAGAATTATTTTAAATTTCGTGTTGATCCTTAAAGCTTTAAAAATTCTTTTCTACAAGAAAAGAGGAACTCCGTACAAAATTCATTAACTCTAGAATTAATGAATTTGGAGGCGTTTGGCTTAAGCAGCAACCTATTCTATTAGCGACAGATATAGGTTGGATAAACTTTAATCTCCCGTTGGCTAGGATAATTTTAAATAATAATATAGAGGAAACTACACACACATACACACACACACATTCACAACTACAATGATTTCTCCTTCGATTTTCTCCCTTTCTTTCTCTTTCCAAGTTATTCTCCTGTTTATAATATCGAGCTCTCTCTTCATCCGAATCTACTTCTCCAATCCATTCCCATATAACGAAATCTTTCCTACCTTTTCACATTTTCTCCTTCAAAATATTCTGGAAATGACCTCATCTGTTTAGATATCAATGACTGTCTTATTGTTAGCCAATTCCTCGCATATAACCAACCTGTATTTCCGGATGATTTCTCTATCAGACTTGGTTCTATTAATCTAAAAAAAAATCAAACATTCCTGAATAAAGCTCCCAGTTCAATCATTCTGACATACTCCTTTTAGAATAACTCTTATTTAGAAATTGTGTGGCAGATGTATCCTTTTTTTCCAACATCAAATATACTAAAAATTTTATTTTTTTTATTAATTCAAGATTAAATGTAACTGTAATCAGAGCATAAATAAAATGCTACTTTCATATCCATTCTGACTGATGACCTTTACACTTTTGTAACATTGGGAAATGAAACACATACACAAATAAACAAACACACACCCACACAGCCGCATCGCTTTTTATTTAATTATATATAAATAAATAAATAAATTTAAGTTTTTATAGTAAATATTTATATTAATTGCATTTGATCCCATTCTGCGTGAAATAGATTAGGTCTTACTTAAAAAGGATCATAAAAAAAATTGCATAAAGTGACCTTAAACGGCTGTTTACCTGCTTTCGGACCTCAGAGTTCATGCGAGTCAAGTCACTCATTACTTATCGCACGATTTCCAGGCAATACAATAGTTACATTCTTCTCTTGACCCATTCATTCCCGATCTGAATATAACAATATGATGAATGTATATTCGCTGGATAAATAAAATGCGTCTTGCAAAATTTATATGAAAATAAATTACATAAGATTATTTTCTTCGTTATATAATCATAAAACTAATAATACTAAATTTAAACAGAAAAATAATAATGTAATTTACAATATTTTAAGTGTAATATAGTAATATTTTAATATATTAATGTAATATTTTAGAACGATTTCTAAGACTTTGTATATGATTTAAATATTCAATTAAAAATGTTAATATATTATATTTTATATATTTAAAATATATTAACATTTCAATAAAATTAAATATTAACATGTAATTAAATTCGTATAATAGTATATAATTTTAAATTTTTGAAGAAATAATGCAATAAAATTCAATAATATATAAATTAAAGATTATAACACATAATTAATACATAATTAATGATATTATATTAATATTACATTAATGTTGTATTAATATTATGTTAATAATATTACATGTAACATCAATTTAAAATTATGGATATTTAAATTATATATGTTACAAAATTTTGTAAAAATTTAAAAGGATTTAAAAGGATTCTTAAGGATTTATAAGGATTTTTTAAAAGTAACACAATTAAATAAAGAATTATTTATTATTTTTCATTGCAGGATATATTGTAATTTATAAGTACACAATCGAAAAAAAGTGTTTACTCTACTACAAATATTATATGTACGAAGGTTAGATATGAAAATAGTATATTCATTGAATGTTAAAAGATGTATACACTACAGCGACTTTCTCCGGTAAATGTATATTCTTCACGTCAACCCTGCAAAAGATATAAAAATGAATCATATATCTACACACAGAATCTGTCAACATTACCATACAATATTTATGTTTGCATAAAATATGTTTTTTTTTAATCTAAAAAAGACTTTTTATGAATTGTATAATATATTTATTTTTTGTATTATATATTTAGTAACACATGTTTTAAATAAAAAATATATCTATAACAAAAATAATTGCAATTAATTAAAAATAAAAATTTGTTACTTAACATACCTAAAATAATACAACTATTTTTTAGAGTAAAAAGTGTTTCTAATTATTAAAATTTGATTATGAAACGCACTTAATAAAATTAATAAAGAGATATGAAGTTAATAAAGTTAATAAAGTGACGTGATTAGACATTTCTAAAATATCATTTTCTTTGTCGAATAAAAAGTTCGACTATTATAATTATTTAATAATATTTATAAGTATAAATATTTATTTATAAGTATAAATAGTAATAATATTTATAAGTGTATGAACAAATTTAAAAAAGTATTTAAAAAGTCTTACTGTTGTTTTAGAGAAGAATGAGAGCCCGAGCAAGCAACCTTGAGTTTCAGTGTTTCCGGAAGATCATGATCTGACAAATCAACGTCTTGAGAAATGTCATCCTTGTAGTTAATCAGAAGCAGCACGTAACGATCACCGCTGTTTCTGACTACACCTAGGACTGCACCATCGTTCATGGTGAACGATGTATAGCTTCCTTCGGTAAGTGCTGGTTCCTTTCTGTGCAAATGGGCTAAATTCTTGTAGATATCATAATGCGAATTCTTAATACCCATCTCTTCCTTCAAGTTCAATTGTTTATAGTTTGAATTCACCGGAAGCCACGTCGAATCTGCCGTACTAAAACCTGCCGTAACGAATAATTGATTAAGATTTAGAAATACATTAATAAATTTAAAAATTACATTAATTATTAATAATTTGAACAGCGTAAATCGCAAAGATTCGTTTTCTACCTGCGTTCTTCTCAGCGTTCCATTGGAATGGCGTTCGTTCTGGATCGCGAGATACAGCCGCATAATGCTCTTTGCCCGCGTTGCGTGCTTCGGGATCTTGTGTTTGTGCATAGGATATATTGTTATTGTCTACCATGCCGATTTCATCGCCGTAATAAGTCACTGCTATGCCCGGCAAAATCATTGACAACATGGTCATTTGATCTACTCTGTCGGGAAAACGCGAGGCTACGCGTGGATTGTCATAATTTCCCAACTAAGAAAATATAGTTCATATTATATTTCAACTTCATTTATAATTGAAAAAGAAAATTTCTACTTTTACATGCATGATGATGACAAAAAATTTAAAATGCTGTTCTATTTGTCACAATTATTCTTATAAATAAGATCAATGTAATTAGAATACGAGAATTAAACATTTTGATGAAAATCTTTTATCAGAAATACAAAATATACGTAAATTTTTTAGAAAAATTAAATCTCTGCTGACTTATATATAAATTTTTGGGAATTTATTTTACATATATATTGTAAATAATAAATAGCAAGAAATTTTTTTGCACAATTTCGATTTTTTTTAGAAAAGTATTTAAAAATATGTAATAAAAGTTTATAACTGTGTAAATTTAGATAAAAATTTCTCATGATCGTACATTTAGTAAATTATGCCGTTATCATAAACTGTTTTTAATGGAATAAAATTGTTATCATCAAAATTATATAATATGACATACATGACATACAATACAAATGAGAATTATGAAATGGTTTCTTTAAATTGTAATTTCCTTACATTGTAAAATAGAACAATATAGAATCTGCTAAATTTAAATAAAAAGTGAAATCATTTCATTAAGATTATGATGACTTCGTGTGAATACATACCAGCCAATTGGGGACTTCACCACTCGGCAATGAGTTTATAAACAGGTCGATTTCTTTTTTGACATCATCCGCGGACGAATTAACAGTCACATTTTTAATCAAATCAAAATTTAAAGATAACGTATAATCGGCATAATATTTTATTATATGTAATAAACTGGTATCCGCTTCAATCAGCAACATCTAGAGAAATTAAAAAGAACATATTTTCTCACTAAACACAAAAGATTTGAAAAAATAATACTGCTTTATTGACCTTTTCCACTCCATTACGTTCATCAACATATTTATCCATGGCTGTTCTCAAATTTCTTACTAGTTCGTGAGTACGTTCTTGATCCATGGTGTAAATATGATTCAAATAAGAGTAATCTTGCGGTGTTGCACCAGTCACATAACTTCTAGGCTCATCCCGCAATTCTTTATCCTCAAAAATATACGGGGCAGAATATACGCTAAATCCGTCTATTCCCGTATCCAACCAGAATTTTAATATATTCTATAAGTGGTCGAAAAAATTATTAAGATTTGTAAAAATAAGTCTGAAGTGCTGTAACGTGTAAGATGTTTTATACGCTTTTATTTATATATTTCTCTAGTTATAAAACTTTGTTTTCTTATATAAATTTAACTATTATGTATATAAATAAAAAGCTACCTAAAAAAATGTATAATCTAGATTAAATAATAAATTTTTAATCGCTGCAGTAATATGATAATAAAATATAAACGATGAATTAATATATAAATTATTAATATGTAAATGTATTATGTATTATGTATTAATATTATGTATTAATATGCATTAATATGTATTAATATACATATGTAAATATATTATGTATTAATATGCATTAACATGTAAATTAGTATTAATAAATAATACTATAATTTATTTTATGCGATATTTATTATATATGTGAAAGATGATATTTCAAGCAATAAATTAAAGATTATAACTTAACATTTTAATTAAATAAAGAAAAATAAAAATTATTATTAGATATATACTTAATTGATTAAAAAAAAAATAAAAATTATTTTTAGATATATACTAATAATACTAATAAGAATTATTAACATAATTTATAGAAATTATAAACTCGATAGTTTCTTTATTAAAACATAAATAAAATTAATGTAACTGAACCACCAGAAACATATTTTGATGAAATTTGATGAAAGTTTTCTTCCAGAAATATATATATATATATATATACATATATATATATATATATATATATATATATATATATATATGTCGAGAGAGAGTGAGAGGAAAATAAGAAAGAGAAAGCAACATTTTAGAACTGAACTTTTATCTATAACTTACTGTCATCTCCTCTAAAACTTCAGGATTTGAATAGTTCAAATCAGGCAGTCCAGGACCGTATTGATGAAGATAAAATTCTCCTAGGGAATCTACATAAGTCCATGCGGGGCCATCGAATTTACTGATCCAATTATTGGGCGGAGTTATGTTATCTTTATTTTTACCTTCTGCAAACATATAATAATTCTTATATTTCTCATCGCCTTGAAGAGCCTTTTGGAACCATGGGTGCTCGTCAGACGAATGATTAGGTACAATGTCAAGAATCACCTATAAGAATACCATAGCAATTACATATAAAGAAAAAATGACAACATCGATATAATACACAGACTAAAGAAAAACAATAATTCTCTAAATTTAATTACGATCATAATATGCACAATTAAATTATATTATATATAAAAATCATGATATAGGCAAATCACCGCACTTTTAGGTCGAGTTTATGAGCTTGCGTCAAAAGAGAATGGAAATCATCCATTGTACCAAAAATTGGATCAATTTTTGTAAAATTAGATATGCTGCTTCCAAAATTGTCCTTAGGACCTGAATATATGGGCGACAATCGGATCACGTCGTTGCCACTGTCCACGATGTAATGTAACTTTGAAGTTATTCCTGATAATATCAGAAAAATTTCAAATTTTGTTCATGTTTCCATACTTAACTTATTTACTTTAGTATTATTATTTATCAATAATAAACCTACGCACTCGAAAATTAATTAAATACAATTAGCAATAATTAATTGGACAAAATTATAACATATATATGAATATAATAATTTGTTATTCTTCATTCGTATTCATATATTCTTTTTTAATTTATTTATTCTTCTCTTTTTGCCTTATGTAATACATATTAACAAATAACAATTTATATATATTTACCTTTCAGATCGCCTATGCCATCACCATTGGTATCATACATACTTCTCGGAGAAATCTGATAGAGGACAGTGTTGTTCCACCATAACTTATCGTAAATCTCAGCAGATGAACTGCTAACAAGCAGGAAAGCCGCACAAAAGTATGTTGTCAGCGACATGATGCCGTTTGTACTTCGTCGAATCTGAAAATTGCTTATATATACTTTAGTGACTAAGGAAATCAATTACTTCGATTTATCAATCGTGCTTACTGAATACAATATCTTTACGCTCGAAGAAACGAAATAAATAACATAGAACAAATGACTTAATTACTACAGCTATGTGTCACATTAATCACTGTTATAATGTTTCATTAAAATATCGCAGAAGTAGTGACAAAATATCTACTGGATGTCCCGAAAGATCGGGACTCTTAAAAATCTCGAATAGTGTAAGTTTTACGGAAAAATACTTTAAATAAAAAAGTTGTATTTTAAACGATCTATTTATTGATCTTTATTAGTTTGAACGTGGATAGTGTTGAGTAGCTTATCTCGAAAGCTATCCAACGAACTATATCTTTATACATTTTAAATATCTGGTTCGATCTTATTTTTTATGGTAAGTTTAATTAACTAAGATAAGATCGGTGAAGTAAATCATGAATCCACACAACTAAAGTCTTAATTTGGTGAACCCACGACCGATTTTGCCTTAATTGACCAGATATCATACTATAAATGATTCGATAACTTTGAAACAGGTATTGCAAAGTGTATAAATTACACAGGACTGCGAGATTTTTTTTTAAGATGCAATAGTGATTTCCGACGTAACTTTGTGCGCTGAGTCCGAATCTGGCTATCGAATTTGCGTAGCACGTCACGTTTTTAAGTAATTTGTAATTAGATGGCTCAAAAATTGTTATTTTGGCCAATTTCGTGAATTTATTGTGGAGAAACGAAATTTTCTGCCAATGGCATCGTATAATACTCATTTTCGCCTTTCAAATCCACTTTCGATCACTGCGCGATTTTTTTTCGCTGAGATATATAAGTATAACGTTGTAAGAAAATTTACGTTATAGAAAATTTATATAGACATCAATATGGTAGATCTATGATCTTGAAATTTGAAAAGACTGATATATGTCAGGTTTTATTGGCCAAAAAAATATTGTAAAGAAATGTCTAATACAGTTGTTACACATTTTGATAAATTTTTCTAAATTTTATGCCTTTTTATTGTGATTCTATTTGCCATATTGGATGTGCCATTTTTAATTTCAAAAGGTGACAGAAGGTATTTAAAAATGTATATTTTTACCCTAATTTTGATTCGTAGTGAGATAGAGAGGTGGCACGGTTGATTTAGAATGGCTTAATGGATCTCTATGCATGATCAGTCTTATAACTTGTATATCTGAACGAAAAAAAATCGTGTGACGGGATAATCGAAAGTAATTCGAAAGATAAAAGTGAGTACTATACGATGCCATTGACAGAAATATTTAAAAAAATTTGCTTTACTCACAATAAATTCATGAAATTGACCAAAATAGCGATTTTTAGACTATTCAACTACAAATAACTCAAAAACCTGACGTGCTAATTCGGCGGCCAGATTCGGATTCAGCGCACAAAATTACGTCAAAAATCACTATTGCATCTTAAAAAATAATTTCGACCCCCTTTTTCGCAGACCTGTTATTATTGCTGTTTTTTCAAAAACTCTCTCGAGATAAGTTACTAAGACATATAATAACAAATAAGGGGTAGAGTTTAAAAAATTTAGGATGATCTTGCTCTGACCTTGGCGACCCTCAAACTGATAAGGTCAGTAAATAGATCATTTTAAATCCTACTTTTATCTAAAATATTTTTCTATAAAATAAAATACCTACTTATATTTTTATACTAACTTATATTTCTCGAGGTTTTTAAAGGTCTCGACTTTTTTGAGACACCCTATATATAAACGGCAAGATCTTTATTAATAACATTGCCCATACAATACAATTACTATAATCTATAATGTTCTCTGATGGATATAGTTTTAAGTAGATCTGATAATAACCCAAGGTTTGCATTTAAACACGGAAATGTTTCATTATAATTATACATACCGTGATAATATACCTGGCAGTATGTCATAAATAATATTTAAAAAAGATAAATTACATTATTTTCTGCAAATAACAAATCAAACAAATTATTGTCACCTGATAATGAAGAAATGTACATAATAATACTGGAGTAAGAAAAAATATCCTTTCAAACTTTATATATACAGAGTGGCTGGAAATTTTTCGCACATCTGAAGTGTGAAGATAGATTGGCTCAAATTAAGAAGGAAAGTTTTTTACTGTTTTGCGATATTTGCGCGCCGCCATTATGTTACAGTAAGATCGCTTTTATCGCCACACACTTCTAGCCACGCGCATTGGCCGATCTTCTTTAATTAATTTTTCGTTAGTTATTGCAAATATCGCAAAATAGAATAGGACCTTCCTTCATAATTTGAGCCAATCTACCTTCACATTTCGGGACTGCGAACAATTTCCTGATATTCTGTATATACAGAATGTCTGAAATGATGCACTAAATTTTAAGAGTGTATTCTAGAGGTCAAAATAAGACTTTTTTTCCTTATGAACTTGGGTCTGCAAATGAATCTCCCTCCGAGTTAAAATTCAAAAATGTATGAAATTGATCAAACAACGCAAATTTATTTATCTCTTGAGAGAAGGTGATAGGTAACGTCAAAACCATTTTTTTTATCTGAAATACAGCCAATTTTTAATTTTTTCCCTAAACTTTAGAGGCTTCTAGCTCGTAGGGAGGTACATTTATGGACCCATATTTATACGGAAAAAAAGTCTTATTTTGATCTCTAGAATACGTTCCTGAAGTTTAGTGCATCATTTCAGATACACCCTGTATATATATATACCGGGTGTTTCAGACCACCCGTACACCCCATTTTAAAGCAAAGGAAGTGGTTATTTTGAAAAATGTTTCAGACAAAAGTTGTTGAAGATAAAGTAATGCATTACATGGGTAAATTTGATTGACCTTGGGTGGCGTCGTGAAGGTCATGTCAAGGTCGACTTGAATTTTTTAAATGGGAACCCCTATTTTTCATTGCATATTCTTGTAGCTTATCTCGAGAGCTTTCCAAAACACTATAATTAAGTACCTTTTTATTAAGTACTTTTTGAGTTATAAGGCTTGAAATAATTTCTTAATTTTATATAAACCATAAAATATCTAGTAAACCATTCATTTTTCGATTATCTTACCTTCATACTTTTATGTACAAAATAATGAGAGGAATCAATTGGTGTAAAGAAAACACATAGTTGTTTCTAAGAAAAAATATGGAATTGTTAATTGCAAATTACATATTTTTTCTTAGAAACAACTATGTGTTTTCTTTACACCAATTGATTCCTCTCATTATTTTGTACATAAAAGTATGAAGGTAAGATAATCGAAAAATGAATGGTTTACTAGATATTTTATGGTTTATATAAAATTAAGAAATTATTTCAAGCCTTATAACTCAAAAAGTACTTAATAAAAAGGTACTTAATTATAGTGTTTTGGAAAGCTCTCGAGATAAGCTACAAGAATATGCAATGAAAAATAGGGGTTCCCATTTAAAAAATTCAAGTCGACCTTGACATGACCTTCACGACGCCACCCAAGATCAATCAAATTTACCCATGTAATGCATTACTTTATCTTCAACAACTTTTGTCTGAAACATTTTTCAAAATAACCACTTCCTTTACTTTAAAATGGGGTGTACGGGTGGTCTGAAACACCCGGTATATGTATATATACAGGGTGTCCCTGAGCATGAGCTCACGTATTTGTGAGGAGATAGAGCGCAGTAAATTAAATAAAGCAATCCTATTCCATGTAACGATTTTTGTAATAATAATCGAAATATTAATTATTGAAATGAGGCATGCACGGATAGCGGCGCGCTGTCCCTAATAATTTAATTATTATTACAAAAATCATTACATGGAATATGATTGCTTTATTTAATTTACTGCGCTCTACCTCCTCACAAGTGCGTGAACTCATGCTCAGGAACACCCTATATATATGTATAATCATTAAAAATGTGTCAATGATAAAACAATGCATTTCTTTCACACAATTATTATCTGCTCCATGTCCTTCTATTTCAAGATAATAAATGCAATTTTTGAAAGTTTAAAACATATTACTAGCATTGCATGATGATATAATAATGCTCGAGATTTCGGTGTTTTTACTTATGTCAATTGTATTGTCAGGCAATAATTCACTGATGATCAATGTTTAGAATGACGTGAGACACAATGGGATAATGAATGAGAATTCTGATTTTGAATTATTGTCATGAGTGTGAGTCATATATCAACATATCAGTTTAAAGAAGAGGAAGAGGAAGACATTGGTATGACAGGAAAACAACTGAAAATCTATTTATTGCTGAAAACCATGGTATTTCTTAATGATCGCATTAGTTCTAAAGTTAGACAATAATCTACAAGAAATCATCATATAATCTATAAAAACATATAATTATATAATACATATAATCTATAAAAAATCTCATGATATTATTTGCGTGCAATTAATGTAATATATAATTTAGATGGGATTGTGTTAATATAATTAAAGGAATTTTATAAAAGAATAAATAAAGAGAATAAATTTGTTATCGTTTCTCAATGGACTGTTCCGCTAAATGTTATAGTATTGCACTTGTCTTCAACAAAAGGTGTCATATTCAACAAATTTAAAAGGAAATGTCACCTTTAAAGATCGTCAAGTATGCTATAGATAAAAATTGTTATTTAAGCATGTTTTTTATTATATTTTATTTTAAAAAAAGGATATTCATATGTGTCCTTTTTTGCTTCAAAATGTAATAGATTTCTTTAACAGTCAAAATAACGATCCAAGAATCTTGCTCTCATTTACTGCTAGTAGAATAGAATTGAATTTAGTAGGCGGCAATCATATATTATTATTTGACATTCATTGGAATCCATAGCTCAAGATACAAGCAATAGGATCTATCGCTTTAGTCAGAGGAAAACGTCTATATTTATAAGTTAATACACATCACATTTAATTTTTTCATGTGCATTGATCTTTTTAATATTGAGTATTTTTATTTTTAGACTTATTTGCGTTGATAC